GAGAAGGCGGCGGCCGGGGAGGGCGCGCCCGAGGCGCGGGCCAAGTCGGCAGTGCGCGTCCGCCTGGAGGACCGCTTCAACAGCATCTCCGCCGAGCCCCCGCCCGCCCCGCGCGGCGCCGAGTCCCCGGAGCCGGGCGTGGCGCTCAACAAGTGGGTGCCCACGCCCCGGGCGGGACGGGGACGGGGAGGGCGCGGCTGCGGAGGGAGGACGTGGGTGCGGAGGCCGCCAGCTTGGCCTCTCAACGGGGAGCAGGACCTGCTGGGTCAGGGTGTAGACAAGGCGATCCTGTGCAGAGGGCGCCAGCCTGCCTGCCTGCGGCTGGATCTCAACAGGGAGCAGGACCTAGGACCTACTGGGTCTGGGTGTAGACAAGGCCACTGGTCTCCCTCTGGCTGGCGTCCCTCAGCAGGGAGCAGGTTCCCGGGGTCTGGGTGTAGGAGACTCGTTGTGAAGCTTTGAATATACAATACAGCTTCAGCCTGCAGCAGGATTGCCAGCCCACGGTGATCTCCCCAGGACGAGTATGGAAGAGGAGTGGCCTCTCTGCTTGGGTGACTTCTCAGCTTTCTATCCGTCCCCACTGTGTAGTTTTCCCCATTTTGCCCATAGTCATCAGATTTTGGAAGATGGCCCCAAAAAGAGAGATTGCTGTCAAGGGTGTGATAGGAAGGGAGGTGCAACTAAAAGATGACACACGGCCCGGTCTTCCTCTGTGAGAAAGAGGAGACTTTGAACCATCCCCAACAGCACTGGTTGATTGTTGCAGAGGTGTCCATGATGAGGGGTGGTGGTCCCAACAGATCTGAGGTCCTCTCTAGAAAATCTCACATGACCTATTAGAGTGACAGTAAGTGCGGGGTCTCAGGACACTTACCTGCCTCGAATTCTTCACATTTCTGGGTTTTCTTTTGTCTTGGCAGTTTGGTAACTCTTATTCGACATCCATCCGAATTAATGAATGTTCCTCTTCATCAGCAACAGAACAAATGTACAACGTTAGTGAAAAATAAAACTGCTGCTGCGACCGCCGCTTTGCAGTTCACTTACCCGCTGTTTCCCACAAACTCCTGCTCCTCGGGCGGGAGCGCCAGCCTCTCGCAAGCACAGGTGGGCCGACGACACGTGGAGCTCTGCTCTTTCCTGTTAAACGAATTTATTTTAGTTAAGTACCAAGGATTTTGTTTTTCTTTGATTGAGCTTAATGACCTTTTAAACTCCAGAGTATTTATGTGATTTGGGAACATTTTAAAATCCTCAGTGCACCTAAAGTTCTTCAAATTGGATGTTAGTAGCTTTGTCATTACTTCTGTTAAAGTGCATTTTATATGTGCAGTAAAGAGAAGATTAAGTTGCATATTGATGAAATTCCTGTTGCTTCATTTTTTCCAGAGTTCTAGTAACTCCTGTTCTATACTTGAAGCTGCCAAGCATCAGGATATTGGATTGCCTAGAGCATTTTCTTTCTGTTATCAGCAAGAAATTGAATCCACTAAACAGACTTTAGGTAGTAGAAACAAAGCTTTGCCTGAGCAGGTTTGGATTAAAGTGGGAGGTAAGCAACACGCAGAAGGTGGCAGGTATTCTGTCCTGCCTGGGCTGTGTCCTCCATGTCATCGTAGCTTTGGGCGGGTGAGGGAGAGAGGTGGTTTATAAACATGTGAGGTGATCTTGGAAGCGCATTTGTATCTGAGGGATCCTTCTTCCAACTCTCTTCTCATCATCGCACTTGGAACATTCTTTTGAATTTTGAACATCATTTTTATACTTGGTATGGAAACATTGAGTTTGGGGGCTGCCTTTTCTTAATAGTAAACTAAACTCCTTAAACAGAAAAATGATAGACTTACATAAGTTTTAAGCTATGAAATTACTAAAACAATAGTTTTTGTTTTTTTCCTTATTTTGTACTTCGTGAGTGAGGGAGGAGTCTGAAATCTGCTAAAAGCTTTAGGAGACAGTCTGCAGATGGGCAAAGATTGACTTGAGAGCAAGAGACCATAAGGTGATTCAGAAAGTTTTAGAAATAAGGAAACTGCAGGAGGCAGGCTTTGCTTACCTCCAAGGTTAAGTCTCAATCCCTTTCTCCCTGGAAACAAATTATTTTTCAAGTTATCCAACAAAATAACACAACTTACACTGAGCTTCTCAAGAGCTAATGAAGATAGGATAGGGACGGAGTGCTCCTGCTTTCTCCGTGTCAGTAATTAATTTTTCCTTGTTATGAAATTTTATGCAAAAGTATATGTTTACATTTGTAAGGTATAAAGGTTAATATTAAAATAGTCCCTGTACTGACTACTCAGCTTGGGGGATAAATATTACCAATACTTGTGAGTCCCCTCTGGGTTTCCCTTGAAAAGTGATCAGTGCTCTGAAATCTGTGTTAGGCGACTCTTTCGCTTTAGGCAATTGGGCTTTCGTGGCATCTTGGGAATGCTCATCACCACACATACTACTTAGATGCCTGCTGTTCTTTGTTTGATGGAAATTTGACATATTTCTGTAGCATAAATAAAAGGTATGCTGGGATTACTGCCTTTGTGGGGAGCATCACGTGTAAGATGAGGGCATATTTAGTCCTAAACCACTTCGGTTTTGTCGTCTTCTGAGTATTGCAGTCAGAATGTCAGCTGTCATATTAGCATAATTGTATGTAAAGAAAATCTTTCGGGGGCCGGCCTGGTGGCACAAGCGGTTAAATGCGCGCGCACTGCTGCGGCCGCCTGGGGTTCACTGGTTCGGATCCCGGGCGCGCACCGACATACTGCTTGTCGAGCCATGCTGTGGTGGCATCCCATATAAAGTGGAGGAAGATGGGCATGGATGTTAGCCCAGGGCCAGTCTTCCTCAGGAAAAAGAGGAGGATTGGCAGATGTTAGCTCAGGGCCGATCTTCCTCACACACAAAAAAAAAGAAGGAGAAGATCTTTCAGAGAAAATATTTCCAGCTTTTTTTTTTTCCATTCTGAATATCTGGAAAATCAAACATCTTCTTGGGTGCTCTACTCAAAGATGACAGTTAACACCTGGCCATGGAAGAGGGGACTTCTGAAAGGTTACACCGATCACGTAAGACTCGGAGTGTTTAAATTCAGTGGTAGGGTTACTTTCGGGTCCGTGGCTTGGAGCCTGGGGCTTCGTGCCGAACTGCGGCAGTCGTGCGGCTCCTCCCGTTCCATTCTCTGCGTCCTGCACCCACTGATGTTTCTCTTTTGGATTGAAAATGCCAAAAAATATACTTAGCATTAATGGGGGTAAGTTAAGAAGAATAAAAAATTAAAATACCACTTTTTTCTTGTTTTGCAAAGAAGAAGCGCTATGTAAACAAGCCATAAATAAGAGGAGTCGGAGTAGAATCCGTCCGCTGGACACACACTTAGAACGAAGAGCGCTGGGAGAGATTCAGAACGTGGGCGAAGGCTCCATGGCCGCACAGGGTGCCTGGCAGTCCGCGGAGTCCGCGCAGTCCAACCTCGGGGAGCAGACCCAGAGCGGGCCCCAGGGAGGAAGGTCCCAGCGTAGGGAGAGGCACAACCGCATGGAGAGAGATAGAAGGTAATGCGTGTGGTTGATTGCCAGGCCGATTTGTATGTAGTTACTTAGACACGCGAGCGTGTTACAGTTATTAGTACTAATAGGCAAGTTATCGCATAGAACAATACCTTAGCCATTTCTGTGTTCAAAGGAGGAGGGCCGGCCCCATGGCTTAGCGGTTAAGTGCTCGCGCTCCGCTGCTGGCGGCCCGGGTTCGGATCCCGGGCGCGCACCAACACACCACTTCTCCGGCTATGCTGAGGCCGCGTCCCACATACAGCAACTAGAAGGATGTGCAGCTGTGACATACAACTATCTACTGGGGCTTTGGGGGGAAAAAAATAAATAAATAAAATCTAAAAAAAAAAAAGGAGGAAAAGTTGGCAAGAGTGAACACTGACTTTGTTTTGCTAGGTGGGTCGGGGTCCCAAGCTGTGATGGTTCACGAGGTCCCACACCCCCAGGTGTGATGGTTCTGGAGAAGGACTCATGGCTTCGATTTATTACAAGAGAGGATCCAGCAGCATTAGCCAAGGCGAATGGGGAGAAGCACTAGGGGACCAGGTGCAGGCTCCCGAGCCCCCCCCACTAGAGTCACAGGATGCACTTCCCTCCCCCAGCGCCAAGCTCTGGCCACGTGTGAGGTGGTACCAGCCAGGAAAGCTCACTAGGGACTCAGAACTCCGGGGTTTACTGGGAGCCTGTCTTGTAGGTGTTCCCTACCTGGCACCCAGCCAATTTCCAGACCCCCAGAAGGAAAGCCAGTGTTTGACATAAGCTGTGTTGTTTGCACAGGAAGCCCCTCTTAACTGGTGATGGTGGGAACCCTCTACAAGTCTCAGTTCCCTGATGGCTGTCAGGGCTGGCCGTGTGAGCAGGTGTCCTAAGCAGAGCTGGTCTACTGGCTTGACTCTTTCCTGCACACAAATCACTGGTTTTTCTTGGTTCTTTTAAGAACACTGGGGAAGGAGGAGGTTAATGCTGTTATTTAAGGCGTTTTATTGTGGATTTTATTTGTGCTATTCTTCTATGTAGATTTAACAGGTGGTTAATTTTTCTCTATTTCAGCTGGATTTTTACATGATGTTTCCCTAACATACAATTAATTAACTTATTTATTGAGTACTTTGAACCAATTTCTGTTTTAGGCTCAGGAAACATAGATGGAGCAAGACACATATTCAACTTTGAAGCTACAGTGTTGAGCTAAAGCCATATCGTTTCTGTTCAAAGGTGTACATTAGAGCTAGCCAGCCAGCTAGATGCCTTTCTTAACTGCGTGTACACACGCATTCCAACCAGAGGACTTCACTGAACTCACCGTGAATTATGAAGGGCATTTTTCCTGCTCTGACGTCTGTTTAATAAACATTTAACGAATACCTACTATGTGAAAACCGTCACACTATATGTTGACAGTAAAAGTTTGAATTCTTACCCTGCCATTTCCTAGTTTAACAACCTTCTGCAAATTCTTTACCTCTCATCTCGAGTTTCTCATCTATAAAAGAGAGATATTACCTACCTCATAGATTTGAGATCAGAATTAAATGAGCTGATATGTGAAGGGTGTCAGGCCCAGTGCCTGGAAGGTAGAGAGCACCCAGCTGTGTTCTACCTTACGAAGTCTCTACATAGCACTCCAAGTGTCCAGGTGTCCAGGCGTCCAGCTGGGAGGCTGGGAAGATGGGAAACAAGACTGTCTGGTAGAAGTGGTTCAGTGGCGGCTTACGTGGGACTCAGCATGTTACTAAATCGGGTTCGCAAAAGTTAAAGATGGTCTAATAATAAGACTCCAGCTGTGATTTTAATTATCTCTAAAAGACCAGTTTTCGGGATATTAACAGGCTGGTAGTCTGTGATCCTTTTTGAACCAGGGCCCCTTGGAGAATCGAAGCCGTGAATCCTGTCTGTGAGTGAGCTCCCCGGAACATGAGGGCAGGTTAATAACTGTCGGGTGAAAGAATGCTCTTCCCAGAAAACCCACACGCAGCGTTTTGCTTCCAGTTTCAGGGGTTTGGACCTGCCCGTTGCTCCTGGCCTGAGAAGTAAATAGGGAAAACTGCAGGGAATGCAGCCGTGAGGGGAGGGCGCCCCGAGGCAAGGGGGTCCCAGGAGCAGCAGCGGCAGAGTGACGGGCACCCAGCCTGGAGGTGGTGGTGGGCACTTCCCCAGCACTCAGAGTCCTTGAGAAATACGAACCCTCTGCTCCTTGGGTTTGTTCCAGCCTCTCCATGTGATGCTTTGGATTTTGACTGTAGGCGCAGAATCCGCATTTGTTGCGATGAGTTGAATCTTTTAGTCCCGTTCTGCAACGCCGAGACCGATAAGGCAACAACTCTTCAGTGGACCACAGCGTTCCTGAAATATATTCAGGAAAGACATGGAGATTCTCTTAAAAAGGTTAGTATGTAGGCTGGGTAGACTTTCAGAATTTTATAAACTTATCAGTGTTCTTATCCTTTTTCCCCTGAGAATCCCAAACTCTCCTTTGTTTCCTGGAATCTGATGTCCGACCCTGAGTCCACTATGAACAAAGCTCTGCTCGTTACTGAGGTAACTTGTCATTTACTAAAGTGACTCATTCACTAAACTGCAGAATACAGATGACTGAAATGTCAGTGGTCGGGTAGACTGAGCGCCTGCCCTCTGCAGTGAGTTGTGCTGGGGTGGGAAGGGGTTTCAGAGACCTGTAGGGTGGGATTTCTTTTTGCCCTCAGAAAACTTTGTAAAAGGGATGAAGCAAGAATAGCTTAAAAAAAAAAGAGGCAAATAAATGTGAAATAAATAGTCTGGACTTCAAACGCATCCAGAGAAGAGACACCTCCGTGGGTGGGTGGCTGGGGATGACTTGGGGGCTCTGGGGCCCAAGCGTCTCAGCTCCTTAGGATACCAGCGCCACCTCGACCCTGTCTGTTTGGTCCCAGGCGATTCCCAGGCAGCGAGCTGGGCTCCTGCAGGACTGAGCGCTTGGCGTGTGAGTCCAGCCCGCCCCCTCTGTGCTGTTTCCCAGGAAAGAATGGAGGCGTTCGAGGCCTTGGGGGGACCTCGGTGCCAGGTTCTGGCCTCAGAATTCTGTGGGTCGGGATGAGTGGTGAGGAGGCCTTAGTGAAGTGAGCCCAGAGCGTCCTGATTCTGTTCCTTGTCCAGAGCTGTTGTGCAGCAGCCGCTGTTGACCGCAGCCCCAGTCTGATCAGAGGACTGAGCTGAGGGTGGTCTCACAATTGTGGAGCCTTTTTAATAAGAGCGTCCTGCATCAGGTCCTGGAAGGGCCTGAGAGGGCTCCTCCCCAGCCAGAGGGCCCCCCTCTGGGGCTGTGTGCGGACAGTTTGTCATCTCGGTTTCCCTTTTCTGTGTCCACGTGACATTTACATCTTGTGAGTTATATAATTTCATCAAGTTCCTTATTTTCATTGTACGTTTAATTGCATTTTGAAATAATACTTATGTCAAATTTGTTCTAATTGGATCATTTATGGTTATTTTTAATGCAGTTACCCTAATATTTTTTAGAGGTAGACTATTGGTTTATTTTAATAAAATAAAGCTTTAATATTTTTAAAAATGACTTAATGTTTGGCTCTGTGTACCTACTAGTAAACTGTTATTGATATAATTCATTCAAATATGATGGAGGTGTTTACAACAAAAAAAACTCATTAACTATCTATATATATACTCAAAGATTAAATAGATTAAAAACTCATGGGTACTTTATATTATATATATTATGCTTCCCGGATAATTCTGAAATTTAATTACATGGAACTTGTGGATTGTTTCTGGGTCGGATGGTAGGGCCTGTCAAGAAACAGGCTGAAGTGAGGTCAGTTAGCAGTGTGTGGACTGGGCCTGAGTGGCCGAACCCTGTACTTAGTTGTGTCCGTGGCACCTTCCCCCTCTTGCTCCCATGAATATTTTATTCTTAAAGATACAGTACATGAGAGTCTCAGGTGATTTTCCTGAATTATCTTAGTGCATATTTCGTCCCACAAATCTTTCCTTCTCCACCCAGGCTTCTGTGCAAGATGCTGGGGGCACTTAGAGTGAGACAGAGACCCTGCTGGCTGGAGGGAGGCGGTCACCAAGGAGGCAGGGAACAGAGGTCTCTGTCCTTTCTCAAGGACGAGACCCTGCTGTGCGGGCCCCACCTGCAGAGGGGGCTTCTTAGGTTGGGTGCCGGGGTGGGGCCCTGGAAGGTGGCATGGTCTAACCGACAGTTTGCAGAGGTCACTCGCTGCTGTGTGGGGAGAATGGACTTGGGAAGTAGAGGTCGGGGTTGGGGGGGAGTGAAGGCCAAGACCCTGGTCGGGAGGCCACAGGCGCAGCTCCCCAGGACTGGCCCAGGGGCAGCGGTGGAGTGCGAGAGGCACGTGGCTTGAGCATGTATTTGTTGGCGGTGCCAGATGTGGGATGTGCTGGAAAGAGGAATCAGGGACCACTCGGGTTTCTGGTTGAGCATGAGCAGCTGGATGGGTGGTGCTGTTTACTGAGATGAGAAGATGGGAGAAACAGGGTGAGGTGGAGCAGAATACATGTTCTATTTCGGACACACGAGGTTTTCAGTGCCCAGGAGGTGGCAGGTGGACGTGTGGAGAAGGCCATTGTGGTTCGTGGTTGACAGCAAATAGTTCACCTTGTATTCTTTTTCTAATGCACCTACAGAACAAGGAATACCTGTATACCCATCTCCTCATCTCAGCAGTTAACATCAACCACACTTACTTCATGTACACACACACACACACACACACACACACACAGATATTTGCTGTACATTTTCAGACAGTTACAGACATCATGAACCTTCACCTCTAAATATTTTCTGCATGCATGTCCTAAAAAACTCTGATGCCATTATCATGCCTTACAAAGCTGATAGTAATTTTCTCACATCATCCAATACCCAGTCCATATTCACATCTCCCGAAAATGTTTTACAAGTGACTTTTATAGCTGGGTTTTTTTTCCAAACCAGCATCCTGTATCTAGGAATGCATTTATGTTTTCAGGCTCTTTAAGCCTCAACAATCCCACCCCAGTTATTATGATGTTGAGATTTGAGATCAGGCCAGGTGCCTGTTGAATGTCCTGCATTCTGGATTTACATGACTCACTTTATTTATTTATGGTAATTTTAAATTTTGCTATAACTTCAGACTTACAGAAAAATTACAGTAGTACTAAGAGCTCCTTGTATCCCGATGCGGTTCACCCAGAGTCACCAGTGTTAACGTTTCACCCGCTTGCTCAGTCTCTCTCTGTTTTTCTGAGCCATTTGATAGTAAATTGCAGACACCATGCCCCTTTATTCCTAAATACTTCAGTGTATATTTTTAAAGAATAAGTACATTATCTTACATAACCAGAATACAATGACCAAAATCAGGAAATTGAGCATTGGTGTAATATTGTTATCTAATGACAGATTAACATTCAAGTTCTGCTGTTGTCCCAGTAACACCCTCTACAGCTTTTTCCCAGTCAGGATCCAGTCCAGGACCACAGCTACGCGTTGCTGTGGCAAGATGACGTTTTGGAGTCGTCAGGTGAACCTCAGTGAGGTTTCCTCTCCAGGCTGCTGGCCAGCTGCCCCCTGCCTCCCTCTCTGATCCGTCACCGGCACTGATGGGGCCAGGGGCTGCTGCTTCCTTCTGCTTTGCCTTCCCCCTCCGTCCATCTGAAGTCAGGCGAGCCCTGCGACCCAAGCCGCCCCTTTGCCCCCTCTCCACGGCACCAGCCCAGGTTCTGCGGTGCGGACATGCTGCTCCCACTCCTGTGATCCTGCAGGAACTCTCGACTCACGACCCCTGCCGCAGCCACCTTTCTCGGCTCCTCTCAGTGCAGAGCCCCAAGGGATTGTCTGTCCCCCGGGGCCCTTCTCCAGCACCCTTTGGTGGCCAGAGCCCTCTTTAGCCAGTGAGGGGTCTGCGGGTGAGCGTGGACCGCTCCCCGTTTCTGTCTTCACTGGCTTCAGGCCACCGCCCTCGCTGGCGTTCCTGCTTCCTCCCTGGGCGCGCCTTCTCTCCCTGCCTTCTCGGTGATGGGCGCCGGGCTTAGTCCATGGTCCGGGTGCTGAGCTGGGTTCCCAGCAGTCAGTGCACAGCGTCCACTGATCCCCGTATTGAGTGAGGTGCCTCCCCCACCTGTACACGAGCCCTCCTTCACCCTCTCCAGGCAGGAACCCCCAGCCTTTGGCTCCCAAGGGCAGGGAGGATCTGCGCCTGCCTTGGTGGGTGGGCCCAGCATGAGGAGACCCTCCTCGCAGTGCTTTGGCCGCCGCTGCTTGAGCGCCATCTCCACCTGCAGAGGCCCTGGGGCCCTCCTCCGCAGCCTCAGGCTCCACCAGCACCGCTGTGGGCTGTTCCTCCCGTTGCTGTCGGTGGGCTGGTCGCTGGCCCTCGGGGTCCTAGTGAGTTTGTGCCTCCTTTATTCTTCCGTCATTCCCGAGCTGCTTCATCTGTGCCCGGATTCCCCCGATTCCTGGGGGATCTGGCCATGTTCTTGGCCTTCCCAGGGAACCGGCTGTGGTCTTGTTCTGCTCTGTTGGATTTTTGGGGGCACAGGAGGCAGTGGTAGTGTTTTTTCTATTATAATTTTGCTTTTATTGTAATTATTTAAAAACCTTACTTTTTCTATTCTTCCCTTCTTTCTGTTTTTTGAGTTTTATTTTTCCTGCTGTCTTGAGTTGAAGTTTAGTACTTCATTTCTTTCCAGTCTTTCTGAGCGGGGCGTGTAAAGCAGATTTGTCTTCGTGCTCTTTCTGAAAACTTCCCACAGGTTCAGATATAATGCTTTCATTGTCTCCAGATACCTCATAATTTCGTCTGTTTGCCTCTTCAACACAGGAATTCTCTGGAAGTTGGTGTTTAATTTTCCACATATGTAGGGAGGGGGTTTTTCCTGTCTTTTTTTTGCATGTTTCTCAAACTTATCACATTGTGGTTAGTGAAGATGGTCTGTATAAAAAAGCAGTTTTTAGAAGACTTCTATTGTGACCTCGTATGTGGTCAATTTTTAAAAGTTGTGTGTTTATTTGGAAGGAATGTGCGTTCTCCGTGTGGAGAATTCCGTGTGTGTATCAGGCTGAGATTGTGGTTCAAACCTCGGCTCCCGCGTCTGCCCGGCCTGCTGTCCCCAGGGTCCTGTGGGACGGCTCGCGCTGTGATTGGATTTGTCACCTCCCTTAGAGGTCTCTCGTGTTTGCTTTCACGGGTCCAAGCTTTGTGAGGTGCGCACATGTTCCGGTCCGTGGGTCTTCTCTGTGCGTGGTTGCGTGTGGCCGGTGATGTCAACCTGACGTGCCCTCATTGTTTCCTTTAACCCTTTGCCTTCAGTTCTCTCTTCTCTCCATTCAGACAACACCAGCTTTGTTCCCCTGCATAACTTCCTGGTATAATTTCCTGACGTGTAATTGGAACTATCTCTCTTTTTCTTACTAATACAGTTTTTATTATTGGCATTTTCATATTTACAAATCTAAAGTGAATATCAACTTTGGTCAGGTGTCATCTCAAGGTGATTTGATGAGTTGTAAAAATCTCTTAAAACTCAGTTATTTAACTTATGTTTGGTTGAAAATAGATGCTAATTGAGAGAGTCGAATGACAGGTGTGCACCTCTGGCTCGGCTGAGCGGGGCTGGGGGCTGGAGAGGGCGCTCGTCTCCTGCTCTCACAGGCACCCCTCTGCCAGTGAGTCGACTCCCGACTCCCGGGGATCCTGTAAGGGTCTAGGTTGAGCTGCAGCTTAACGCCTGTTCTGGGGAGCTGTTCAAAATAAAGATGGATGGCTAGGGCTAGCCTCCCCATTGTGTCAAGATTATTTAGAAAATCTCCCAAGTACTTTCTTATATCTGAGAAATGATTATTTTCTTTTTTCTGACTTATGCTTAGTTATTCTCAAAAGTAAATTCTACCTTTTGAAATATAGACAAATATTTTATGTTTGGGCTCTGGGTATTAAATATAGGAAATTATCAAAATGTGGTTTATCTTAAATTGCATTGAGACCCTAACACCTTTTAAAGTTTGGGAAGAAAATTAGAGTATCTTTATGTGCAAATACAGCTTCCGAGGTAGGGAGTGGTTGCCTTGGCGGGGATGCCACCTGGGCTGTGGACAGATGGTGTGCTGCAGCCCTTCCAGGTGTTGAGAAGTTAAACCAAGGGCAGCAGAGCCATTTATACATCCCTTCCTGGACCTGAATTAAATAGAAACCTACTGCAACCCAGCAACAAAAAAGACAACCTGATTCAAAAATGGGCAAAGAACTTGAATAGACATTTCTCCAAAGAAGAAAAACAAATGGCCAATAAGCAAATCACTGATGAAAAGATGCTCAACATCACTGATCATCAGGGAAATGCAAGTCAAAGCTACAGTGAGACACCACCTCACACCCATTAGGAAGGCTCCTATCAAAAGAACAGAAGATAACAAGTGTTGGCAAGGATGTGGAGAAATTGGAACCCTTGGGATTGCTGGTGGGAACGTAAAGTGGTGCAGCTGCTGTGGAGAACAGTCTGGTGGTTCCTCAAAAAGTTAAACATAGAATTACCACGTGATCCTACAGTGTCACTTCTTGGTTTATACCCAAAAGAACTGAAAGCAGGGACCTAAATGGATACTTGGACATGAATGTTCACAGCAGCATATTCACAATAGCCGAAAGGTGGAAGCACCCCAAGTGTCCATTGACAGATGAATAGATAAACAAAATGTGGTCCATCCATACAATGGAATATTATTCCGTCATAAAAAGGAAAGAAATCCTGACACCTGCTACAACGTGGACGAACCTTGAGGACATTATGCTCCATGAAATAAGCCAGTCACAAAAGGACAAATACTGTGTGATTCCACTCGTATGAGGTCCCTAGAGGAGTCAAGTTCACAGAGACAGAAAGTAGGATGGTGGGTGCCAGGGGCTGGGGGAGGGGGATGGGAGTTGGTGTTTAATGGGGACAGAGTTTCAGTTTTACCAGGTGAAAAGAGTTCTGGAGATGGATGGTGGTGATGGGTGCACAGCAATGTGAATGTATTTAATGCCACAGAACTGTACATTTACAAACAGTTAAAATGGCAAATTTTATGTTATATATTTTTTTCCTAATAAAAAATATGTAAACCTAGATTTAATTGTGTAAGAATGCTGTGCTTTTTTAAAAAAAAACTGATGGAAATTTATACATGCATAAAAATGGAGAGAACAGAATCATGAACTCCCGTGTCCCTGTAACTCAGCTTCAGGCATAATTTTGTTTCATCTGTACCTCCCCATCCTCCCACCCTTGCTGAATTATTGTTTTTTTTTTTTTACTTTTTTGCTGAGGAAGATTGTCCCTGAGCTAACACCTGTGCCAATCTACTTCTATTTTGTATGTGGGATGCCGCCACAGCATGGCTGACAAGTGGTGTAAGTCCACACCTGGGATCCAAACCCGCAAACCCGGGCCTCCAAAGCAGAGCACACAGAACTTTAACCACTCAGCCATGGGGCTGGCCCCCCCCCCTTCCTTTTTCCTTGCCATTTATCTGTGGAAGAAACTGAATACTTTGTCCTGTAGAATTTCCCACCTCCTGCGTTTTGCACACCCAAGACCTTTTGTTTCCTAGAGGCTGGTGAGATTCTGGTTGTCTGCTTGTACTAACTAGCCTTCTACTGCGTGAGGTTGAGACTGACCTGCCTGCTCAGGGCTGGTCAGTCTGACCGAGTGTTAACACTGAGGCCTTTTAAAAAGCGTGTAGGGGCAGAGCCGCATGAACGAGGACCTGCCGCCAGCAGGGCGCTGCAGGAGTCAGCTCTTAGTCTTACGTGTAGAGAGAGCATGCCTGCCACGGAGCACTCCTCAGTCTGCGTGGAATCAAACAGGTGCTCGTGGGGGGAGGGTATGTAATGGGTCAGAGTGTCTGGGGCGGTGGAAAGTTCTGGAGGTGGATGGTGGTGATGGTTGTACGACAGTGTGAATGTACTTAATGCACTTGAGTTGCACACTTGGTAAATGTGTGCAAGTAAAATGGTAAATTTTATGTTGTGTCTATTTGACCACAATAAAAATAACAAATATTAATATAGCTTCTCTTTTTAAATATGAGAAGCCTTTACAATGTGGTCAGGCATTTTAAGAATCTATTGGAAAACTAAATAAAAATACATATAACTATTTGAGAAAAATGTTTGAATTCCTGTTTTTATCATATATACCCTCTTACGATATGTGACCTAAGTTTGTGAAAGACACCTTTATTTAACGATATATTTTCAAGTAGTTTACTCTTAATTTCAGCCTTTTGTGTTTTTTGAAGATAGCACTTTTCATATATGTGAATTCAGTACATTAATGATCATTCCTCTGCTTTAGGAATTTGAGAGTGTATTTTGCGGCAAAACTGGCAGAAGGCTCAAGTTGACCAGGCCAGACTCCTTGGTGACATGTCCCGCACAGGAGAGCCTACAGAGTAGCCCGGCCATGGAGATCAAGTGACCGGGACTGGACACTCATCCTGGGACGGGCTCGGTCGTTCCCTCGTGGCCCATAAACGTTCTCTACAGTCCTGGAACTCGGCTCTGACAGTTTCACTCTAAAGGGACATGACTCAAGTTGATGGGACTCCAGGGGGGACTTTGGAAGCACATTTTGTAAAAATATTTATCTAGAACAAAATACTTGTCCACTCATGTCCTCTTAGACCATTTGGGGATGAAGACATCTTGATAATTAGTAAGTAATTTTCAATTATCTGTCTGATTCCATCATGTTTTCTTAACATGATATCTTAAAAAATTAACATCTTTTGTAATTTCTTTAGTCCTAAAAGGTACATTGCTTTTTATTTATTTTATCTACATTTTAAAATATGCCCCCTTAGCAACTGGAACAAGTTAAATTGTTCTTAACTAGAAGCAGTTTGGAATTTTATTTCACTTGTTTATCACTTCCCCTTGTAAGGACTTCGTCTCAGGGTACTGTATTGCAAAATGCAGTCCTATTTTAAACCTTTTGCTAGAAATTTTCCAGAGACTTCCTTTAAAGCTACTTTTGTCCATAAATGAGACACTGTCACGGTAGATTGCTGCAGTGCCCTCATTCTCATACTGAGAGTCTGACTTTCTGTGTAATAAACTGTAGTGTTCGGAACTGAGTTTTTCAAATGAGTGGCTTTATTTATTACAACAGATAATACCAATAGCCTTTAGTGCAATACAAAGTCACCTTCAATAAATACTGTTAATTGGACACAGTTAGAAGTTTGTACACAGAAGCAGCAGGTAATCAGACCAGACGTCTGTGTGAAAGGGACACCGTGCATTGGAGCCTTTATTTTCTTCTTACACTGTGGCTGTCATTAATCTGAAGATTTACTATATCATTTTGCTGGGATTGTATCTTAGTCTTTACACAAATGCTATGTAAACAAGTTGCTGAATATTTTTTATCTTGTGGAATTGTACAGAACTTTTTATACGTACACCTATGTCCTCTCAAATGTTGGGTTTACAGTTTTATCACGTAGGGCCTGTGTCTGAGGTATGACGGCAGCTGAATGGACCGATGCCGGTACTCGAAGAGACACAGCTGGATGGAGGATGCTCTCAGGGACCAAGTGTCCAGTCGCTGCCAGTGAGGACACGGAGGGGCAGGCCAGGAAGGCCTTGCTGGCGTCACGGCGCGGCGCGGCGTCCACTCCTTAATACCAGACGCTGCTGATCCCTGGGTGTCCTTCCACAGCTCACTGCTTAGCTCAGCATCACTTTCTCACTTGCTGCTTTAAGTTATGTTTTAGGAGCTTCTAGGTCCTGATTTTTCCCCAGCGCCTGCCATCACGGCTCCTTGGCAGGCCGAGGTGTCGCAGATGCCGGGGGTCCCCTGAGCTCCAACAGCCCCAGGAAGGCCAGGGTCGCCAGGCAGCCCGGGCTCGCCGGGGGCCCCGTCTCGGCCGTCTTTGCTCACGCCCTGCACGCCTTGCGGTCCTTGAGAGAGACCAGGAAGGTGAGTGTAGACGTAGTAAGAACAGAACGTTCGTGATCAGCATGCCACCCAGCTCTTGTGTTTTCCTAGCTTGTTTCTGAGCTCTGGAAGAGGCCAAGGGGAGGAGAGCCAGGCCAGGAGAAGGGCAAGGGCAGAGGTCTGAAGTGGGCAAGGGTGTGGCGGGCACAGCCAGAGGCCAGGCGGAGCCACAGGGAGCCCACCTCCAGGTTTGTCCTACGTACGCCAGCTCGGACTTGAGGAGAATTAATTGGTGCCATGTGACAAAGGGGTCTGGAGTGAGCCAGGGGGCCGCTGTGGGAGTAGCTTGGTGAGTGATGAGGGTGGCGTGGCAGCCATGGGAGTGGACTGGGTGTGAGCGGAAGAGGAACCCCCACCGGGGTGGTGGGCACCTGAGCAGGTGGGCGGCAGGTGGAGGCAGAGTAGGTCAGCAAAGCAGAAACAGGAACGTGGGGTGCAGCCTCGAGGCCAGGAGATGAGGGTGTTTGCGGGGCTGGGGGAGGGCCCCCTGTGGTGTGGAGAGGAGCCAGAGCCAACAGCTGTGTGTTTTGGGAAAACCAGCAGGCCTTTGACTCCCAGGATGTGTGTGCAGATGAGAATGACCCCGACGTCTCCGAGAAGGCTTGGGAGGGACCGCGGTGGTGCTGGCCTTCTCGAGGGTCAGCGGCTCCTCCTCCCTCTCGACAGAGCATTTATATTCAGCATTAAAAATCCAGACATTCAGTGTACATGTGGGTCAATGAAGAGAAAATTCTGTTGGAATTTAACTGAAATAGATACTAGATGGCTTTAGTTAAGTAGAATTTAACTGAATCTACTTAACTAAAATAGATGCAGGAGGGTCTGTTATTGACTAAACTTTTACATATCAAAGTGGTTATTGAAACAGTTCCTAACCTTGCCTCTAAGAATGCTTTGGCAAGAGAAAGATGTTGTTCCATTAAAAGACAATGAGGGGCCGGCCCCGTGGCTTAGCGGTTAAGTGCACATGCTCCACTACTGACGGCTGGGGTTCGGATCCCGGGCATGCACCGACGCACCGCTTGTCCGGCCATGCTGAGGCCGCGTCCCACATACAGCAACTAGGAGGATGTGCATCTATGACATACCACTATCTACTGGGGCTTTGGGGAGAAAAAGAGAAACAAAGGAGGAGGATTGGCAATAGATGTTAGCTCAGGGCAGGTCTTCCTCAGCAAAAAGAGGAGGATTGGCATGCAGGTTAGCTCAGGGCTGATCTTCCTCACCAAAAAAAAAAAAAAGACAATGAGACATGTTCATCACCCAAAGTCATAAAATGTCAGGAAAGGTGCCCCAGAACACAAGCTTGTTAACGACAGTGGCCTCGTACCTTGGAGCCCCTGGTCTCCGTCGGGCCCATCCAGACCCACGCCAGCCGAGCCTTTGTCTCCTCGGTCCCCCTGGTTTCCTGTCAAAGGCATTTGACATGTGCACATGTTTAGATTCAAGTTTAAAGACAGACTGGTGTGGCGTCACGGACGACACCACAAGTGTGTGACCCCGCCTTTTTACAAGTGGGGTGCATACTTTTTAAGCTTCCTACAGAAGTGAAACACCTTGACCTTTGGTCAAGTCCACACAGCACAAGCATAGGGCTCGACGGAGTCTGACGAAGTGAACCCTCCCACGTGGCTGACCAGCACCAGGGCAGCCACTTTTGATGGCATTTTAGTTTTGTTCAAACTGCTTGTGCCTGTTAAATAGTTGAGTGCTTGTTTTGTGTTTCTATTTTCAACATGATTTTTGACCCACGAGTTATCTACAGGTGTTTTAGAATGTCCCTCTAACTGTCATTCCAGCCTCCCACCTCCTGCTGGGTTTGGTTGTGGTGGCCACAGTGCTGACAGGCGTGCCGAGGTCTCCTGCTGGGAAGGCCCATCTGCCAGCCTGTGCCTTATGTGATGTAACGTGCCTACGAGTTACTGTGTTCCTGGTCAATGGAACCTTTGTCGGTGTAGCGACACCCGTACAGCACACAGCATTCCTGGAGGCGGCCAGTCTTCCCTGATGTTAAGTAGCAACCCCAGCTTTCTTGTGGCTGCTGTTTGCCAGTGTCTTTTTTGATCAGAAGTGTAGGCCTGACGAGCAGCGCGAGGCCACGGGGCAGTCAGTGCTCATCTCATTACACAGGGACACTGGCGGGGATGCCGTCCGTGGCTGTGGAGTTACAAGCTGGCCCCCCATGGGGTGTGGGATTTCCTGGCCTCTGAGGCCCTGAAGCAGTTGGTTCTGGTGCAGGGTCCCCAACCCGCTGCCTCCCTGACCCACTGCCTCGCTGACCCACTGCATCCTGGCCTGCTGTGTCTCGGGGCGGGAGAGGGTGGGAACGACAGCTCAGCAGTACCAGGGGCTTCTGCCTGAGGACGTACAGTCTACGTTCTTGTTTAATTCTCGCGATAACCCTCAGGCACCCCATGCTGCCACGTTGAAGGGACCGAGGCGCCAGGAGGTGAAAGGACCCACCCGCTTCCTCTGGGGGAAAAGCCCTCTTCAGACAGGGAGCGAGGAGATGTGGGGCGCCCGGAGGACACACGGACCCCTGTGTCTGTGTGGTGGCTTCACTTCAATATTGTCATGGGGCTTTGCTGGGAGAACCCATACAAGTGATTAATGCTAATTTTGAATTTTAGTTTCAAAAGTCTTAAAGGCATTCAGGTCCCTGTTCGAAGAAGACCCCGTGTGGTCTTTCATTTGAAGACAGCGCCCCTCAGTGAGGGACTAGCGTGCAGGCCCGGGACCTGAGCCCTTAGACAAGGCCCCGAGAACAGGAGCTGTGGGGGATCTGGGACGGGCCTCACAGCCCTGAGGAGCAGATGACAGGGACGTGCTTGCCCTCTAGTGTTGACACTGCTCAGTCTCTGAGTGTCTCAAAACAAGTGAGGTAGCACCGCTACTCATGGAACACTTGCACCTGCTAACGGGTTTAAAGTTAACCTCACAGAGGAAGAAAAGAACTCAGAATTAAGTTTCCCTTAGAAACTTTTTCCTTAAGCTGTTTTTTAGAGACAGAAAATTATCTGGCCAATAAGTTGGAATGAACTGGAATCATGTTTAAATCCTTGATTTGGGCCATGAGGCTGGCCAACTGGACGCAGGTCGACTTGAGGGCAAACCGTCAGAACTTGAGAAGGAACCGAATGTTAGAGGTTCGTATCCGACAGTTCACAGAGCTGTCATTCGTGCCCCAGGCCTCCCTGGATGTCAGCACAGTCAGCGTAAACAGATGGGACCACCGAGGGGTGAGCAGTCAGTGCGAGCGTCTGTGGTTCCATCTCGTTTCTAAATTACGTTTCCTAGTTCTTGATGGTCCTTAAAATGGATTTTTCAATTTTATAATTTTTGCCTTTTGCAACAGAAATGTTCATATATGCGAGTTTTCATTAAGGTATGTGCCACTAAGTATAAATGGGGTGCCTGTGTATTCATTCCTCACATTTTTATCAACCTTTCCTCCCTAAATGTTGTTTTGATGGTATTTGAGAAAAGCATCACACTTTAAAAATATTATAGTACCTGTGGGAGTAATAAGGCATTCACTGTGCTGGGCCCCGAAAGCATGAAGGCCCCGTCAACCTGAGCACAGCCGGCTCTCCCCGGGGGGCAGCTCAGCCTCTCCTAGCATTTGCATGCAGCATTTCCAGAGGAGCCATGTGGACTGGGGGACAGGAGGCCACTCAGACACACGTGTCAGACACGAGTCTTCGTGAGGCTGGGTAAGGCCCGAGCGCCTGCCTGCCCGCTCAGGTCCAGGTGACTTCAGGTCCCAAGTTTCCCTCAGGGTCTCTTCCCTCCCTTGTCCCTGCAGAGGGGAACATCTCTGTTTGGAGGCGTCGGGTTTCATGATGTGGGGAATGTCTGGGGGTCCTGTCGTGTGGCTGGGGGGCTGCCCACAGCAGAGTGGCCGTGTGGTGGGGTCGATGGAACTCACCTCTGGGTCCGGGGTCTCCCAGCTCTCCAGTGGGACCACGATATCCAGGGGGCCCTCGAGCACCAGGGTGACCAATGGAGCCTGGGGGCCCCGGGGGTCCTGGGGGGCCAGCTGGACCAGGCCGACCAATGGATCCCGGCGCTAAAGGCTTCCTCAGGTGAGCAGCTAACTGCGCAATTTGTTCTTTTGGAAAACAAAGATAAAAGCATTTATTCAAAGAGGATTATCAAAAACATTTTATGTGAAACGTAAAATATCTATACTGCCTTTGAGAAGGAAGTTTTGTTTATTGATTGAAAATGGCTTTAACTGCTTTGGGGTGCGTCGTAAACGCTGTGAGATTTTCTCAGTGTACCCAAGAGTGAATTGCAGGCCTAGAAAGGGGGATTCTCATTGTTTTGGAGCTCCTTAAAAATCCTGTGAATCAGAGTGGCCGAAAGATGTCCACTTGGTCTATTCAAGCTGAAAGGGCACAATTATTTGTCCCTTGTCCCTATTCATTCAGCAGACACTTAGAACATCCACCATGCGCCAGGCTCTGTGGGAAATCCTGCGGGGAGGGAGCCCTCATCTAGTGCAGATGGACAGACTGGAGTGCCAACACGGGCCCCCAAGGACCACAAGTCAGCCCGAAGCTCAGCTTGGCTGGGAAGCAGTGGAGATGAGGCTGGGGGTGAAGGTAGGGCTGAGGCGTGTACCCCCTGCGCGGGGCACAGGGAGCCACCCGTGGGATGGAGAGCGCTTACCGCTGATCATGTCCCCGCACAGCTCCCGGATGTGCTGCTCGCTGGCTTCTTTCCCCTGAAATTCACCCCCCAAGTTCATGAGCATACTGGGGGCGTGCTGGCACCTCTCTGAGGCTCCCCCCGCCCCACACCCTGAAAGGTAAGTGACCTCAACAAAAGAAAGAAATGCGTACCGGGACTCCGGGCTTCCCGGTGATGCCAGGCACGCCCTGGACGCCCTGGAAGCCCACGGGGCCAGGGGGGCCTGGGAGGCCCTCCACACCGCTGGTGCCATTGGGACCCTGGATGCCTTTCAGGCCCAGCTCCCCTCGACTGCCCGACTGGAGAGAAACAGCAGGACGAGGTGGGTCGGAGGCGAGCCACGCCCTGGAGCTGCCAGCCCACCCGCTGCGCCCTCTTGGCCAGCGGTTTCCATCTTGCCTGGCTTCAGAACAGAGTGAGCATTTACAAACTGCAGGTCCAGCAGTGCCCCAGGCGCCTGGGGGCCTAGAGGGGCCGAGAAGCCAATGGGCTCCTTTGGATGTTGTCACTGGAACATCTGCCAGGTACTCACCTCTCCTTTGGGTCCAACAGGGCCACTGGGACCCTGCAAAAGAGAAGAGGTGCATTCTGATTACTCCAGTGTTGTTGGCAGCTGGGTGGGACTGAGTTCCCAAGGAGCCAATCTAGCACGTTACTAGTTGGGGATGAAATAAAAAATCAAACCATCCACAAAACTGCTATCAGACTACGCCAAAATGTCGGCAGCCGCACTTCCTTTGATTCTTCTAGGTACTTGTTTTCATGTTGCTGTGGTTGTATTCTATCTACCCTTGTTTTTTAGCTTATTTCCATAAAATTTTAGCTTATTTCCGTGTTTTAATAGCTGCATGGTGCTTTTTCTCGTACACGTGGACTTTGTTCCCACTCTCTTATTGTAAATGATGCAGAGCTGAAGGTCTCTGTGCCTAGAGCGCCCCCCATCTCCAGCTGTGTCCTCAGGAAGCTGCCCAGCTGGATGCAGACAGGGACATGGTCTGACCAGACAGTTGGCCCAGGACCCACTCATCCGCATTGCCATCTGGTTGAAAGCCTGGGCATCACGCTCCGCTCAGGCCACATCACTGACTCCCCGTCAAGCCACAAGGGAGAGTCCAGGGTGAGGCTGTTCAGCCCCCACAGCCCGACTGCTGAAGTCACTGGGGGCACAGTGCACGATGTCCCAGCTCGTGGGCACTGCCGCCCCCATCAGATCATCGGGAGGTGGATTCCCATGGTCCTGTTTGTCAAGGTTGTCTAGGAATTCGCCAAAAGAAACAACACACACAGAACTGGGATTGTCTTGGCTGGAGACACAAGAAGTTTGCACTGGGCCCCAGGTTCTGCCGGAGGATCCTTGGGCCAAGCCATCTCCATCTCACCCAGACACAAGAAAGGCTTCACTACAGAACCAGACATCCTGCCCCGTGGAAGCCAGAAAGATCTTTCTCCCCTAAACCCCATGACGGTTCCAGGTCAGTTACCTCCAGGAAAAATGTGAATCCGTCGACGAACTCAATCAAGGATTTTATTTTAAACTTAACCTGAGTTTTAGCTCTGTGGAAGCCAAGTTTGCATTAGTTAAAACTCAGCTGTGACTAATTCACGCTGAAAGGCCACAGATGGAGCGACTTTACAGGCAGCATCTCTGTGCAGGAGAGGGTAGAGAATCCTGCAGCCAGGCCTGCGGCCGCCTCTCCCCACAGGCCCTTCAGGGCCGGTCAGCGGCCTGGGCCTCCGCTGACCCTCGGCTTCCCACCCCCTCGGAGTTTCTCCTTCTGCCTGGATCTGCAGACACCTTTTCCACAGATAGGTGCCCCCACCGCCCCCGGAACGTGGCGAGTTCATTCTCAGTTGTTAATAAAAGTGGAGTCAACTTAATCACACTTACCAGTTCTCCTTTATCCCCAGGAAGACCATCGGAACCTGCAATCCCCTGAAAATGACACACCCCAAAATTAAAAGAACTGTTCACGACTTAAGCTGTCGTCAAACCTTGGTGGGAGCTGGTGCAGGAGACCCAGGCCCAGGCAGGGACCAGGCTGAAGTCAGTTGTTGACGTGATGAGGCTTGTCCGCCAAGCAGAACATCAGGTGGGTTTAGACTGTTCTAGGCCTTTGACCAATGTAGCAAGGGCCTGGTGCTCCCTGAAGGTCAGGAGAAGCAGAGCCACAGCAACAGAGGCCCCTTCCACCCCTGAGCCTTTCCAGAGAGCAAAGTGCTCCTGGAGAAGCGAACGCGTTTCTCATCTGCTTCTGCACACAGAGGCCTGGAACCCGATTCTGCCCCTTTCCATGGTCACTTTCCCAGAAGGCCAGCAGGAACACGCCTTCCCGTTTGAGGGCCCAGGCCAGAGGCAGCTGCTGTTGTACCCAGGAGCCAACCGGCGACCTTGGGCTGGCTGCCCTGCTGTTTGCACCCAGGAAGGCAGCATGTGGGTCCTGGCTTTGGCTCCGGGGCTGGGTGCCCAGAGCTGTCGTCACTGCTCCGTGGGAGAGGGCGCCGGGGACCAAGACCGCAGGAGGGAGAGAAACAAGAGTTCTGAAGACGGCCCAGAGCCACATCTGACTTCAGAACGGGTGCCCACTCACCTGGTCTCCCTTAGAACCTGCGGCTCCTCCCGGGCCCTGCAGCAGAGAGAAGGCTCAGCGTTAGAGGAATTACAGGAATCCCTAAGGTGACCTGCTCCGAGTTGTGGACCCGGGAATGTGTATGCTGCCCACACAAGGGGCCACCGTGGAACAGGCTCCCTCCCCCAAGCGACAGACTGTGCTCTGTGTGCGTCCCTAAGTGTCTCAGGGGTCTTCCTGTAGACCCGCCTCGTCTTTTTATGGATGCCACAGTGTCGCACCACTTGGGGTACCACAATGGTCTAACAGGCCTCTTCAGAGTTTGTAATTCCAGTGAATTGGATATCTTTGCACACACAATCCTCGGATAATTTCACAAGAGTGGAATTGCCGAGTCAGAGCCAAAAGTGCATATGAATCATCTTCCCGGCGGACTGAGAGGTTAGGGGCATGTCTGGGAACTGGTATGATCGCCCCTAAAACATTAAAATAAAAATTGTCCATTTGCTTAAGAGCAGCCTGAGTGAGAACCCACCTAAAGGGCAGAAGGTGGGGACTTCCCTTTGAGTCCAGTGTGCAGAGGGCAGGAGCGGGTGAGGGGCTGGGGGACCCAGTGCTGGCCCCACACCCCCACTGGGGACCGGCCAGCACCCAGGCGCCTCTCTCCACCGGCTCCAAGGCCCTGGCCTGGTTGGTATGTCCCTGACCCCTGGAATTTCCTGCCCGGAGGCTGCCCCGGCACAAGCTGGTGGTTTCCATGGCCCCGTCACTGCCGGGGATGAAGGGGCATCTGGGACGTTGGCTCCTGGGCCTCCCTGTCTGCAGTGATGTCTGGAGGCAGATGTGGCCTTTGCAGGGTCTCGAGCGCACCTCTGAGGAGGGCTCTGTTGCTGCCCGGTGGGCAGGCGGCCACGGAAGACACTAGGAGTTCCCCAAGGACCTGGTGCAGTGCGGCTGAGCTGGGCAGAAGTGCACACTCAGACCCGCAGCCTGCTCCCCGTGAACCAAGGCCGTGCCCTGGTCACCAGGCAACAAACAACCGACCTGGGGCCCTCTGTGCCCTGACTCACAGGACGATGGGGACCCCACAGTGAACCTACTGGCTGTTGTAAGACCACTAGGAAAGAGTCTTGAAAAGTTAGAAGCAGTGACAGTTACGGTAGTTTAGGGCGATGGTTTTCACACTTATTTACAGCAACATCACCCTGCCAAGTCCAGCCAAGTCCATCCTCCGTGGAGTCCAGCAGAGTGAGCAGAGGGCCAGGAGCCACTGCCCCTCCCCTCGGCCCCACAGGCCCCACAGAGCCCGAGCGTGCAGCTGCGGGGCACCGACAGTGTGCCATACGCCCCGAGGGCCTCTGACATAGGGCCCTCTGTCTGTATGTCCCGGGGGCTGTGGATGTGGGGCTAGGGCGCAGGGGTGGGACCCCCCTGCTGGGACTGCCACTTACCCGGTCACCTATGTCACCTCGGAGGCCTTGGGGGCCCGGCAGGCCAGGGTCTCCTATGTTGCCCTTCCGGCCCTACAGACAGGGACCCAGCTCATCAGCACCCACAAGAGAGCCCAGCGGGGACCCCGCCCCGAGCCCGGCTGGCCCACCTGGGGTCATTGGGCGCGAACCCTGACTCCAAATCTCACCCACCTGGAAACCTCGGACACCAGGGGCCCCAGGAGGGCCTTGTGGGCCCAGAGCCCCCTGAAAGACAAGGAAGGTGTGAGTCTAGCTCTGCTTCCTCCCGGGGGCTGGGCAGACACAGGAGCTGGTCCCCAGCCATCTGGCCCAGTTGCTGGGGACAGAGGTGGGGGCTGTCCTAGGGGGCAGCTGAGGGGTCGCAGAGGTCAGGCACATCCTCGGACCCCATGCATCAGCCAGGCTTGGTGCTGGGCATTGCGGCCCCACAGCTGCTGTCATCATATCTCCGTCTATGGTGGGGACACACGGAGTGGGAGCTTCCTCTGCAGCCCCCGGGGCTCAGGTGAGCCGCTCCCCTCAGCCAGGCATCATGGCTTCAGTCCATCAGCACAGAGGTCTCAAGGACAGGACAGCTTGGGCCTGGCCCCCACCATCTCCTGGCTTTCATGGACTCCGCCCATGGATGCATCCAAAACGCCACCCCAGCCCACACAGAAACTGGGCCACGCTGAGGCGGCTCCGTGCCAATCCCCCCTCCCCAGACCGCGTCCCCCACTCACCGCTGAGCCCCTGTGGCCAGCCTCGCCGCGCTCCCCGGGCACACCAACGTCTCCCTATGCATAGGGAGGGGGTGATGTCAGCAGGGTCCACACACTCGGGGTCGGGGGGTGAGGGTGGTGGATACTTACAGGGATGCCGGGCTCCCCCGAGGGACCGGCCTCACCCAGCTCTCCAGCTCTTCCCTGCAGGGGAAGGGAGACCCTGAGTGTCCACCCACGTCCCCTCCGTCCAGGACCCAGGCGCTGGCCTCCCCTCCCCTGGGAGAAAGAAGCCACGTACCAGTTCTCCCTTCTCGCCCTTGGACCCTGCTCGTCCTGGGAGACCCTGTGGGACAGAGGTCAGGGGTCAGAGCTGCTGAGCCCATGGGCAGCAGCACACGGCCAGAGGCAGAGCACCCTCAAATGGTGGGGCAGTGTCCTCCAGCCCTGCTGACCCCGGCGAGGGGCTCCGACCGCTTCCTCGGCCTCGATGCAGAGACCCTTGCATGAGTCTCCATTCAGGGACCCACGGGAGACACCCCCATTCTGGGAACACCCCCTGGCACAGTCCCCGGGACCACTACAGAAAGCCCCTTGCACTCACCGGCAGCCCGTTGGGACCTTTCTCTCCCGGGGCACCATTGCGACCAGCCTCTCCCTGCAGGAGATTGTAGGGGAGGGGGTACTGAGGCCTCAGAGGCTGAACTCCCTGCAGACCCCTCCTCCCCCACAGGCGCCAGCTGAGTACCAACCTTCTCGCCATCAAGTCCTGGAACGCCGTCCCGACCGTCCTTGCCTGGCATGCCCTGGGGACAGAGGACAGTGTAAGGCCAGGCAGGCAGTGTGTCCGTGCTCCCTGCTCCTCCCCATTCCCGTCACCCTCCAGGCCCCCCCCTCCAGGCAGCAACCTTCCCCATCCCTCCCCACCCTGCACTGGGCCTGCACCTCCTGGGCCAGAGGACCCCCAGTGCCCTGGGATGTCTGTGGTCTCACGGCTCAGTGGCCACGTGGCAACCTGTGCTGCAGGTGAGGGGAGCATGGGCGCATGAAGGGGGGTGCCTGTTTGAGCCCTTGCACCGCCCTCCACATCTGCCCAGACTCGTCACAGCACCCCCAGGGAAGCTCTGTTGTGGCCTGTTTTACAGATGGAGAAATTGAGGTTTGGGAGCCAGGATTTGGGCCCAGGCCTGCCTAATCCCACACTCTTGACTAATTCCGGAAATGAGGACACAGCCAAGTGCTGGGAAGGTGGCAGGAGAGCAGACGGTCCCCCTGCATTCGCCCTCCTTCAGCCCTGCCTCCCCATCCCAGGCCGTCCTACACAGACAGGGACACCCAGGGGCCTGTCCTCTAGGGCCACAGTGGGGAGGGGCCCAGAGGGGCCAGGAGGGAGTGTGGGTCCAGGCTGAGGATGGGCATGTAGCAGGGACGAGGGGGCACGGGTAGGGAGGGTGGGTGCCCTGGGGCCCTCAGAATGCCTGTACCTGTGCCCACGGGGCTACCCCACCTGCCCTCATGTCTCATGTGCCCCTGGAACGCAGACGAGCTCAAGCCGAGACCCTCTACCTCTGCACAGTCGGGAGGGCAACGGTCTTCGGGCCATGCAAAATGACAGTGGGGGGCTGTTCAAGCACTATTGCTATTTCCAGACGCAACAGCAGAGCATGAAACCGAGTGAGGGCCACACACCAGTGAAGCTGCCTGTGCGCAGCCCAGGACCGTGGAAGGAGAATGACCCCCCGGGGGAAGCAGTTGCAGCGGATGGGAAATCCGGTGACACCGGCGTCTGCACAGCAGTACTCACCGGCTCTCCACCCGGCCCGGCCACTCCGGGGATGCCTTTGAGACCAGGTCTGCCCTAAAAGACACACAAGGACCGCAGGTGGGAGCGTGAGGGGGGCTTGGGTGGGAGCTGTAGACACACCCAGTGCCCATCTTAGGATCCCGTGGACTCTGCAGCATCGCACAGCCACCTCATGGACCTCTGGCTGCTAGGTTCAGTCCAGGGGGAAGACAAGGTTGGTTTGGGGGCATCCGCAGGCAAATGCCAGTTTGGGGACGGTCCCTTCAGTTCATTTCATGAGATGCTTGATTGTCTCTCGGCTTTACTCGTGTTCACTTGCTCAGCCCGAGAGTGGCTTTCTCTGTTCATCCATTTCACAGCACAAGGCCGAGCATGACCGCCCAGGTCCTCTCCATATGTGTGCATCAGTGGCCAGAATTTGCACCCAGGAGTCAGGTCCTACAGTCCCTGCCTGCCCAGCTGCTCTGGAGGGGAGCTTGTCAGACGACGGCAGCTTGAAGGAGCCACCGGGGAAATGGGGGCCGGGCTGTGGGAGAAGAGCCTGGGGCAGGAGAGTGCTGGGGACCCCTCCAGGCCAGGCCCAGCACATGTCCAGTGGTCACCTCCACCCACCCCTCATCCCCCTGGCAGGTGCCGTCTGCGCGTCCTCCCCCTCCCTGTAGATCAGGTTCTTCCACTTACGAGGTCACCTTTGGGGCCGCGGAACCCCTCTGGGCCTCTCTCGCCTCTGTCACCCTGAAATGACAAGGGTCATTTGACCCTTGGTCAAATGGTTAACAACAGGAAGAAAGTGGGAGAGCTGGTCTGAGGTGTGACTGGCCCGGGTCAGCCCTGGAAGTGGTCAGAGGTGGCGGGACTGATGCTGCTGACGGTGGCAGAGGCCAGAGGGACGCTAACTGCACCTCACTGTACGTCCAGAAAGAGAACAAATGCAAATCTCCACAAAGGACAGACAGACTCCTTTGGTAAACTCGCCTCCTCAGGGGTGCCTGCCGGGGTGTGCCACATGTGCCCCCCAGCTGTGCCCACGGCTACCTGCCCAGGTGTGCCCACAGGACAGCTCAGCCCCAGGAGGGGGCAGCAAAGCCCAGAGGGGTTGGGGGAGGTATCCGAGTGAGGAAGAGGGAAGGGGACAGAGAGCCTGGGCCTGCCCGGGGCCACCCTCCACCCCAGACACACACATACCACTTTCCCGGGGGCTCCTGGGATTCCGGGGGGCCCTCGGAATCCGATGGGACCCTGTGGAGGAGAGGGGGGCATCTGGGGCCTCCCGTCTGAAGCCTGGCCAGCATCCCCCAGAAGACCCAGCTCCTTCTGGAGGGGCCCTGCTGTGAGCACCCCTACCTGAGCACCCCCGCAGCAGGCCCCTCCCCAATTAGCCACCCAGCGCTCCCCAAGCCCCTGTCCCCCTCCTGCATTTGCCAAGGCTTCCCCTTCTGTCCCCCACTTGCCCCTCCCTATCCCCTTGGGCCTAAGCCACAACAGCCTTCGTAGACCTCAGTTTTGGGAACCATGCGAGGGAGTGGAGGCCCAGAGGCAACCTTGCCAAGATCACACCGTCTGCCTACAGCCACAGGTGACGACCAGCACTCATGGGGCCCATCTGACATCTGGAATGGCCCCCCAACCGCCTGGGCTGACTTCAGGCTGGCCCACAGCCCCCAAGGGGCTGGGCTAGGTGGGGGCCAGCAGACTTACCCGGTCCCCGGGGGGCCCGAGCGTCCCTGGCAGTCCTCGTAGCCCCCGAGGGCCCTGCGGAGAGAGAGCTGAAGATTCAGGGCCCGGGCCAGCAGCCCCCAGGGACTCACAGCCCCTGGGAGCCACCAAGGGGCCCTGGTGTCTTCCCAGAAGCCCTTGGCCTCCCCTCAGGCCCCAGAGGGGTGATGGGGGCCACCACCCTGGGATCAGCTGCCTGGTGGAGGCAGGACCCCAGCCTGGTTCCCGTCGTGGGTGTTGGTGGACTGTCCCCTACAGCCCTGAGCTGCCCAAGGGGGTGGCTGTCCAAGGGGCTCCCATCCTGCATCCACACCCCTGTCCAGCCTCCCACCACTTACCTGCAGCCCCACGGTGCCCGGGATGCCGGCGGGCCCAGGGGGGCCAGGGTCACCCTGCAGCGGAGGCAGAGAAAGTGGTGGTAATCAAGTGGGCCCGGAGGTCTCCCAGGACCTTTCATGCCCACCGGTCCCCCAACCCGTGCCTGTGTAGTGGGAGGCGTTGCCCCACTTCACAGCTGAGCCTTGGAGGCTGAGGGGGCACGTGGCCTCTGTTCCGGCAAGGGCCCCACCCCTTCCCAGACGCCTCCTCCTGGCTGGCGTGGGCCCCCTCTGCTGGGCACTCCCACCAGCCACACCCCATTCCTTCCATGGGGCAGGGCGGCAGGGACCACTGGGGGACACTTCAGGCTGAGGCCAACCTTCTGTGGTCACCAGTGGGGCCCACTCAAGCTCAGGGCGCTTCCATGAGGCCAGGCAAGCAGGGGTCTGTGCCGGCTCTGCCCAGCCAGACCCCGCCGGGGAGGCGTGTGTGCCAGCTGCTCAATCAGGGTGTGCCCGCCATGAGGCTGGCACCCCTCACTCCTCCACCGGAGTCCCAGCCCCCACAAGTGCCTGTCCCTCCCTGCAGCCACTGCCTGGGCCAGCAGCCCCGACATGCCGGCCCGTGACACCCCATGCTCACCTTCTCCCCATCCTTGCCGACTTCTCCTTGATCTCCTTTGTAGCCCGTGGGTCCCTGGAAGCCAGTGGTGGGTGATGAGTCACAGCCCCACCCCCAAGAGGCCTGAACAAAAGCCCCATGGCCTGCCAGCCCGGGTGGGGAAACCGAGGCCTAGTTGGGAGGGGGCAGGGCTGGGCCAGGGAAGGTGGTTGGGGGCCTGATGCCAGCTCTCTGCTGAGCCCTTTCTCAATGCCTCCCAGTTGCAGGGGCCACGCCAGCTCTCAGCGGGTCACCAGTGTTGAGGGGGGATGGGGACAGAGCCAGGACCCCAGGAAGGGCGGAGGCCAGCCCCCTTTCTTCCTATGACAACCCTGGAACCAGGGCAGGCTTTCTGGACCCCCATCCTCCCCCCACCGGCTGTCACAGCTGGGGCCAGGCTGCCTCCCGAGGGGCGTGAAGCTGGGCTCAGGTCTGAGTCACCCCATGGCTGCTGCTCACCTTGAACCCTGGCATTCCTGGGGGCCCAGGGGGGCCTGGTGGGCAGATGGCCGGGCACTGTTGGAAAACAGAGTGGTCAGCCCCCTCCCAGACAAAAAGGGCCGGATGGCAGCTCTGAGCAGGACCCTGATGCCTAGGTAGCACCCAGGAGCCCTGAGATGGGCCTTTCCACACGGGCAAAGGGGACCTCGGGCCACACCGGGGCCCCAGACAGAGTCTCATTCATACTGGCCGCAGGGCGGCAAGGCGCTGTCCAGAGCCAGACCTTGGCCGCCTAGCCCACACAGCCTCCTCCTCACAGCCCGGCTCCAATTTCTCAGCTCCAGTGTGGACGCCGGGTTCAAAGCAGCCATTCAGCACGGTGGCTGTTGGCCTCACAAAGGGGCCTTCATCCCATGCCCCAGCTCCCGGCAGCGAGCTTCAGGCTGGCTTCTCCTCCAGGCACAAATGTGCTCTAGGAAGGGATGTGTCCCTCAGGCACAGACTGGATGCTCCCAGGCCTGGGATGGCGTGGGGATTCTAGATCGTTCCACCGCTGATCTGGCACAGAGCTAGTGCCGTCAACCTCCTCCCCAGCCGCTCCTGCCCGGCCCGTCATGAGGGGCCCAGCCATTCTCATTCTGGGAGATCCCTACACTCCCTCTGGGACACCAACCCGTCAAGCGCTTGGGACATGGGGTGGGGGCGAGAAGAGCTGGCAGACAGCAGCAGTGGGTGAGCCAGAATGGGCCGAGTTCTTCCTTCAAGAGCACAATACCCCTCCTCCGTGAAGCCAGGGCCTGACCCAGTCCACGGCCGCACAGAGCAGAGAAACAGACCTGGGGCCGCCCCAGTTACTGGTTTTTTTTTACACGAGCGACAAAGCTCAAAGACCAAAGGAAGAGTGAGTCTCAGACTTGAGTCCGGAATCTTCTACGGTGGGGAAACATTCTGTCTGCACCAGCCAGTGCGGCCGCCACTCGCCACGTGTGGCTGAGAGCACACGGAGTGTGGATTTGATTTTGCTTAATTCAGATTCACGCAGCTGCACGTGGGCCATGCAGGGGGACAGTGCAGGGCCTGGCGGTGGCAGAGGTGGGGCAGGGAGGGCGGGGGAGGCTGTGCCTGGAGGGGGTGTGCCTGCATGGAGCCTGTCCCTTGGGAGCCCCCATCCCTGCCTTCCTGCGGGTAGGGAACAGGCCCCTCCCCAGACGGTCCCTGAGGCTGCAGATGGAGCCAGAGCCCCTCCCACCAAGGCAGGCACCCGCCCCCCTTCACAAACGGCTGTGCGTGCCCACCTGAAGGTCAGTAGCGCCTTCGGGGAGGACCCCTGGCTGCCCCTAGAACAGAGATGGCTGACTTTGACACCACCCACCTGCCCACCCCCTCCCTCGCCCTCCCTGCCACCCACCACCCTGGGACCACCGGGGGACTGGGGGCCCTTCATCCCCCAAGGGGCATGTTCTAGGCCTCCTCCCCAAGTGGACAGTGCCAGGTGCTGCTGGCCCATCTGCTAGGCACGTGACAATGACAGAAACCACCTGTCCTTGGGGCAGGGTGCCCACCCGGCCTGAGCCCTATCCCCAAGTCGGCTGACCACTGCTTCAGCCCTGGACTCGGCCCATGTCTGGGGAGTGGAGCCGGGAGGGGGCTGGGGGGGCCCTGGGACAGAGGTATCAAGCCCACCATGCAGTCATCCATGCCCCACACGTCCCCTGAGAAGCTCTGGAGCCCCCTGCCCAGTACTTACAGGGGGTCCTGGAGGTCCTGGGGGGCCAGGGAGGCCTGGAGGTCCAGAGGGTCCCTGGGGGGGATTATAGCTTAGATGGAGCAGGACCAGCCCCCAGCTGAGGTGAGGTGACCAGCCACTTCCAGAGAGAAGCCTCCCTTCTGAACTGCGCCCTACGGGGACACGCCCAGTCCACCCACCTCCCCGCCCCGGCTTTTGCTAGCGTCCTCTGTGCCCCTGAGGTCTGGTCTGTCCTAGTCCCTGGATGTCAGCCAGGGCTTCCATCAAGGCCCACCAGGAAAGGAAAGTGGGGGAGGCAGGGGGGAGGAGAAGGGAGTGGAGGGAGGAGGGAAGGGAGGAGGGGAGGGGGAGGGTAGCCCCTAGAGGGTGAATCAGGAGAGTCTCTGGGGCGCCTGCTCCACCTGGTGGGGGGAAGTCTGGGGCAGTCACTCACCGGGGGGCCGCGGAGGCCGAGTCCACCTGGGAGGCCACTCACCCCTGCCTCTCCCTGGGGGAGGTAAGGAAGTGAGAGATGGGGGTCTGCACCCAAGGAGCTCTGGGGATCCTGGGGAGTTCATACCCTACTCCCAGATCCCCATGCAGGGCCAGTCTGCCCACTCTGAAGGGACAGGGACTGCAGGTGGGGGGTCAGGTCACTGCCCCTGAGGAGCCCCGCCCCAGCCCTGGTTTGGGTCCTGGCAGCCAGGTTGGCTCTGGGTGTGGAGGGCACACTAGGATGGGGGCCACAAGGACTGTCGGTACTCACAGGGGGTCCGGGGAGGCCTTTGCCCTGCAAAGCCAAGTATGGAGTCAGATCTTGCTGGGGCCAGGAGGGAGTCTGCCCACCACCCCACCCTTTCCCTCAAGATGGTCAGATGGGTCTTGGGGGAAGAGCGCCCAGTGCAGGAGACCCTCCCCTGGGGAGAGGGCACAGCCTAGATGGCACCCCAGGACCCCAGCCCAGGCACCAGCCTCCAGGAGAGGCTCCTGGAGGACACACCACCCTGGTTGGACGTCAGACGCCCACCGAGAGGAGAGACGGTACTCACCCCCAGCCCGGGCGGCCCTGGGGGTCCCAGGTTTCCCTGTGGAAGGACACAGGCGTCAGGAGCGGGCTGGGCCCATGCATACTCGCCTGTTTGCAAACCCGTTCTCCTCCCTCCCAAGTCCATCCTACAGCTCCTTTCAGGGGGGTCCCCACTTTACAGAAGACCGAGATGGGGTGGGGGGACCTCTGATGCCCCAGTGGTCTGGGACGGCTCCTTTGCCAACAATCCTGCCTAGAAAAAGCCAGAAAAGGTCTTTTCCCAGGAGTGCTGCTGGAAACATGTGGAAAGAAGCAGCACATGTGCCGGGTGGGCCTCCAGGAAGGCCCAGCACCAGGGCTGACCTGAGCCACGCAGAAGTGCCCCGTGTCTGTCTCCTCCAGGAAGCCCTCCAGTTAACCCACCTCAGAGGTCACTGAGACCTCCGACCTCCCACAATAAGGAGCCCGGAACCTCAGGCAGCCCAGTCCTCCTGCTTCCTTGCATCCCAAAGACAGCGTCCTTGCACCCTGTGCCCCCTGCCCTCCCGCCCCCTCCACCTTGCTGCAGGGCAAGTCCTCCCCTCCTGCGTCCCTACCTGGCCAGGCTCCCTGCAGAAGGCCTGGAGCTAGCCCACCCTCCCCCAGTCCTCCCACCCCTCAGCACCAAAGGACCCGCTGGCTGCAGGCAGTCACTCTTGCCCTTGTTTCCAACTCAGAACTCCCACCGGTGAGGTCCCAAAGGCAGGGCCGTGTCCTTGTGGCCCCCCATCTGGCCTCCCTGCCCTCTGCACCCCCAGAGAGGACCGTGGGGGGACAGTCACATCTCGCAGGGAGGAAAGTTGGGTTCAGCTTGTACTCAGAAACCACGAGAGAGAAATCCTTCCTGAAGAGGGTCAGTCAGGAGGTGGTTTCAGTGGGTGATGGTCAGACCTAGGGGACAGGCTGGGTGGCGTGGGCCCCCCGGGTGGACACAGAGAGGGGTGGCAGTTCACTGGGGGAGGAGGACACTTGGGGCCGGTCACCCCCAACCACACCAGCCCCCCCACCAAGGTCTGAATGCCAGGACAACTCTGATCAGAGATGGGTGTGGGACAGGGCACCACGGCACAGGGGACCATGACCAGTGGCCACCCTGTGCCCACCTGCCCTCTTGCCCCCTCCACCACACCACATGGCGAGGCCCAGCTGGTCCCAGTCCTGGCAGCGGCCCTCAGAACCGCCAGCCCCATGCCTTGTGGATAGAGGGCCCTTACCTTGAACCTGAACTGAAGCCACTTGACAACGTGGTTCGGGTACTTACCCGTTCTCCAGGGGCACCCTTGGGTCCAGGGGGTCCATCATGCCCAGTCAGACCCTGGGGAGGGAGACGAAGGGAGGGCTCGAGGGGTCACAGGGAAGGATATGCCCCTCACAGGGGGAAGATCAAGCCAGGGCCCTTCCCTAACTAAACTGAGTCCAGAGAGGCCTCAGGACCTTTGGGTCTGGTACCTTCCTCTTCTGGCCCCGCCCACTGTCCAACTGGTGTGCCCAGGGGCTCCGGGTGGAGGCAGGGCAGCCAGTGACCAGAGCTTCTGCTGGAGTTAGCAGCCCAGCAGGCAGGAGAATTCACTCCTCAGAGCCGGCGCCAGTCCTCACAAAACCCGCTGGTCCTGAGCCCAGGCCTTGAGACCCTGATGACCCATGAGGTGGCCTGGGGCTAGGAGGGGCCTGGATAATGGGCATTTGTTCCCAGATAAGCAAGAGCTGGTGGGACTTCCACCTCTACTGTGGGCTGGCTCTGTCCTCTGCCAGCCACCTTGGCCAGACACTAAGAGGTCTGGGATGAAGGCCAAGGGACCCCTGCTGGGGGACATCCGGAGACTCTGGGGACTGGGCTTCCTGCTTGAGCAGGCCCAGCTGGAGAACAGCAATTACCTGACTCCAGGCCGGGAGGGGAATGGGGGGGTCGCGGGGTGTGGGAAGGGAGGGGTCTCAGGGGAGGGGGAGGGGAGGGACCTCTGGGGAGGGGGAGGGTAGGGGGCTCTGGGGAGGGCAGCACACTCACGTCCACCCCGGGCAGGCCTGGCAGCCCGGCCTCTCCTGGTTTCCCTGGCTTCCCCGGAGCTCCTTTTGGTCCCTGTGTGTGGCGGGGTGGGGGGGGTGGGAAGGGCAGAGGCATGAGAGAAGGTGGGCCGGGAGCCTTGGCCTTCACGGAGAAGAAAGGTGTTTTCCAGCAGGGTCACCACCAGCAATCCGAGATGGGTGCCTCTCCACCAGAGGCCCAGCCCTGCCTGCGGTCCTGCAGACCCGAACTCAGCTGGGGCTTACCCACCCACCCCTCCCTGGGGCTGCCCACTCCAGCTGACCGCCCTCACTCAGTCACATCTGTGGGACGTTCACCTGGACCCTTGGTTCAGCTGGTCGCCTCAGCCTCCCCAGCTAAGGATGGGTGGGTCGTCCTGTGGGACCCCCAGTGAGCCCAACGACCCTTAACTCCTGGGCCTGAACAGCTCCGTGAGGGCTCGCTTGTGGGACCTCTGACTGTCTGGCCGTGCAGGGCTGTATGGACCCCTCCCCTGGCCTGCCTGGGCGCTGGCCCAAAGAAAGCTTCAAAGCCAGACCCTGCCCAGAGACACTGAATCCCACGCAGTCTCCTCCCACCCCTTCCTGGCCCAGCACAGTGTGGTGGGAAGGGGTGTCAATGACCCCTCTGTTCTAGGCCCACCCCCTCTCCAGACGGGAAGGGGCTGCCTCTCCGCCCACCGCAGCCTGGACACTCACCGGGGGCCCAGGCAGACCTGGAGGGCCAACTTCTCCCTGTAGAGGAGGAGACACCCACAAGTGACCGAGAGTCCCCTGGAAACCCCACCCCAGGAGAGAGCTGGGCCCCAGAGGCCCCAGGAGACAAGATGGGAGCCCCTCACCCCTCGTCCACACCTAGGGCACCTCTCCTCCAGGGCCAGGTGCAGAGGCAGTGGCGGGGAAGTGGTGAGCTTGACAGATGGGCCTGCAAGGCCCACACAGCTTTTGGGGACCACTTTGAGGTCACAGGGACAAACCCCAGAAACGAAGGGAACACGTCACAGAGCCCCTCCCCTCCACCCACACGAAAAACTTCAGCAGGCGGGCTGAGAGGCCTCCCGCTCCACCTGGTCAGAGGTGGCATCCCCCAAGACGCGCAGAGCAGCAGGAAGAGACCCCAGCCTCCCCCACACCCCCTGTCGTGACCACTATGCCTGAAATCCTTTAACCGAGGCTTCCAGGCTAAGTTTTAAGTGGAAGTGTTCCCAGAAGGAACTATTCAGCTTGGCTCCTGTCAGCCTGGGAGCCCTGGGGCGCCAGGTGCCCAGCCCCCACAGGAGGTGGGGAGGAGGGAGGCTGCCCTGAGCGACAGCCCTGAGAAGGGTGGAGGGAGGCTCAGGGCTGGGCAGGGCTTGGGGACTCCCCAGGAGGCTGAAGACCGGTGTGGGGGGCTGCACCTAGGGAGCAATATGGGTGAGGAGAGGCCTTGGGAGGGTCCTCCGCCATCCATGGAGGTGGCTGAATGGGGGGCTTTCACCCCAGACGGTCCCCAGGGGACAGCTGCAGGATTTCAGCTGCCTCCCCATGTTGCGTGGGCCACACTTGGACTGGGGCACCCACGGAGGATGCCATCTCTGGGGCAGAGCCAGCCTCCAAGCCCCCTCCAAGGCTTGCTCCAGCCCCCAGCAGCCCCCAACAAGACCCACCCAGAGGGACAGGCCCCACACCTCCACCCGCAAACCCCAAGAATACAGGAGCACGGGCACCTCCATTTCCAGTCCAAAGACCACCATGCAGCCCCCCAAGTGCTCTGGGGATGCAGTCCCCGTGGGGTGTGCTCCAAGTAGGAACAGGGGTCATCTTTGTCCTGTTCCACACCCCACAAGGGGTGCTGGCTCATCACCTGACATCGCCCAGCCCTCGGAGGTAGACTTAGTGTTTCCTCCATCAGTCCTGGGGGCTCAGGGAGGTTGGGGCCAGAGCTGAAACCCCACAGAACCCATCCCGCCCTTCCCACCCCTCAAACTCACGTCAATGCCGTCCTTGCCCGGCTTCCCAGGTGGCCCTTGTGGGCCAGGGGGGCCTCGAGGTCCCATTTTCTGAAAATGGAGAAATGTCATTAGGCAGCTGCGCCCCACCCCCACCCCCTGTCCTGTGGGGTTTGTACCCCTGGTTGGCCCTCGGGTCAGCCCAATGAAGTGTCCCCTCTTCCTGGTCCCCGGCACTGAGGCCTGTCACGGGGCCTTGATGCCGGCCCACCTCAGAGACCCCAGCAGCAATATCTATGCTGCTCGCTTGTTCAGCCATGAGGGGCTGAATCCCGCCCGGCAGGGAGCTGGTGGGAACAAAGGCGACATTGTGCGTCCCTGGTGGCGGCAGCAGTGCCGGCAGCAGCCGGGCCCCAGTCAGGCGAGGACGGGGCGGCCTCCTGGGCTCATCCTCAAGGTGTCCTGGCCTCTGTGGGGGCTTAGCCGAGTGACTGTGACTCTGCACCCCTGGCAGGAAGGTGGGCTATGGGGTGACAAGGCTGCACCGGCAGTCCCCAAGCACCCACGGCATCCCGGCCTCACTCACTGGCCCAGGGTGCCTGGGGTGGGAGGTCGTCCCCTGGCTGCACTGCTTGACATCTGAACTCAGAGCCCCGGACCCCCACCCCGGGCCGCTGTTCTCCTGTGTGAGCCCAGCGCGCCCGCGGCCCCGTGCTCACCTGTGCCTCCGTCATGGTCGTGGCCAGGAGCTGCCCCAGCAGGAGCAGGGCCAGGGAGGGGGCTCCGGCCATGGCTGCACTCGCGATCTGAGCCTTGCCGGCAGCAGTGTCTGGGCTCGGGGCTCAGCAGGCGGGGCGGGAGGTGGGCCGGATGCCAGTTCCCGCCCCGCCAGCCTGCACACAAGCCCCCCATTCAGCTGGGCCCACCTGGGAGGGTGGGGGCTCCCCTGCTGCCTCGCGCCTCCCTGCCGAGCCAGGCAGGGGGAAAAAGAAGCCCAGTGGCATTTTTTTGGCCAGTCTCTGAGTTAAAATTATCCCAGGACTGGTGAGTTACACACATACACCTTTTAGCAAAAAAGAAAGGCGCTCTTTTCTCCCCTTGCCCCTCGCCCCGGTGTGGAGAGGGAAGAATCCCACAGTGAAGGGCTCCTTTGGAGAAGGGGCAGCCCTAGTCCTGGAAATGGGGTGCAGAAGTTGCATACCCCTCCCCAGGGTCCTGAGTGGGACCCAGGAAGCCACTGAGAGAGGGTGAGCATCCCTGTGCCAGGGGCAGACAGGGCCCACCACAGCCCTGGCTCCCGCCTCAGGGACCTGCCCCACGGAAGAGTCTAGGGCCATGCCTGCTGGGCCGGAACACCTCCCACTTTCAGGGCCCCCACCCCAAACTCTAAGGGTACTGTGTAGTCCGTCTACGTCAGCCACCACCGGCAAAGGCCGGATTCTCACCCAGCACCCCCCACCCCGAGAAAGAGCAAGGTGGTGGCCCTGGCCAAGAGGGAGGGAGCACCACCATGACCCTGGGGCCTGAGCGGCACTATGATGAAGTCCGAGGCTGATGGGGGCAGCTCCTGTGTCCCACAAACCATGGGCAGCTAGCTGTGGGGTCGCAGCTTTGGACAAGCTGTGCTTCACCCTGAGGGGCAGGGGAACATCAGGGTAAAGGGCACCACCCAGGGCCAGGACACCTCGACGGCCACCCTAGGGGGCTCTCAAACATTCAGGCCACCAGACAGCCCATCAAACGTGCTGAGTCTCAGCCTCACCCCAGGTGTCCGAATCTTCAGAATTCCTTGGGAAACGCTGCTTTGGGATTATAGGACGCTGCGTGAGCTTTGTTTCTGCAGGTGGGAACTCAGGACCCAGGAGACGACGTGAACATGGAGGGAGGGAGTGGATGGAAGAGGACAGGCAGGGATGCCAGTGGCCCTCAGGAAGCTCACTTCACTACTGAGTGGCACCGTGGCTCCCTCAGGCCTGGCCACACCTCAGGTGGGAGGTGTGTGTGAATTCTATCCTGAAGGACCAAGACAAGCTAGAAAGTTCCTGCTCTCCAACAGAGTCTGAGTCATCCCAGGACACCCTCAGAAACAGCAGAGTGGGGCTGGGGGGCAAGACCCTTCCACCCCAGCAGCTCGCCTCCTTGGTCCCTCCCACGTGGCCTCACAGCCCATCTGCCCTCTCTGCCCCATGCCCAGCACATGGCCAGTGAGGGCTCCTGCTGGACCAGACTCAGAGGAAGCCCAGCTGGCCTTTACTTCGGTCAGGGGAGTGGCCTGGTGCTTGGAATCTCACTCCACCCCTCCAACCACCGCCCCCCCAGCAGAAACCCACCCCCAGCTCCACGTGCAGACCCTCCCCCACTGCTGCTGGGAAATGCTCTCCATGGAGAGCTGCCCCTGCCCCGAAGCCCAAAGAGCCCCAAAGAGCCTCAGTGACCTAGGGCTGGGGGAGGCCAGGGGCTGGCAGCACCGCACCCCCCCCCACTGCCCTGTCAGGATCAGCCTCACCGCCAGAACCAAACCGCTGTCCACCTGTTTCGGGCCATCACTCTCCCGGAAGCCTAGAGGTCGGGTAGGCCAGATCGCCTGCCTGTCCCTACGTCCCTCCGCTGGGCACAGACCCCCTCCCCCAGGGTCGCTCAAGGGCATTTCCTTCTCACTTCAGGCTTCGAGCTTCTCCATCTGAACTTGAGCCCCAAAATGGTCTCAACTGAGGGTCCCGACCACGGGATCACTGGATCCTACTGAGGAGACTCAGCGTTTGATGCCCTACACCCATCTCAGTTCCCCTCTGTGGTGGAAACCCCGTCTCTGAGCCAAACCGGAGGTCAGGCACCTGGGGTCCCTCCCCTTCCAGCAGACCGGGGTGGTGCGGGCAGGCGACCCAGCTGTAAAGGACAGGCCCCTCCCTGACCCAGCACTGGTGAAAGTTAACTTGGTCTCCCCTTCCCACTTGGTCTTCCCCTTCTGGGAAGTCCAGAAAGACTTCCCATCTGTCCATCACCCCTCCCACACCATCAACGCTTTCATGGATCACAGCTCAACTCTCAGAAGGAACCACACTCCCCCCTCCTCCCTCCAGGAGAGCAGTGACCTCCATCACTTCATTTGTTCAAAGGCAAGTGTGTGGCCCCCTGCAGTCTCTTCCCTGGTTGGTGCTGATGGTAGAAATGCCGGTGCCCAGGAAGGGAGGGGTCCAGGCCCAGGGGGACAAAGCTGGGCTGAGAGCCAACCACGCCCTGCGGGGAGGAGGCTGCTGTGGGTGGGAGGCGCACTGTGCCCATGCCAGGCCAGAGGGGCCAAGGGGGTCCTGGGAAGGCTGCGGGGGGTCGGTGGGAACTGAGGCTGTCGGGCAGGGACAAAGGGGCAGAGCCACAGAGAGCACTGCTGAGCTTGCCCCCCAAGGCACATCACTGCAACCCGAACCATGCGGGGGAAGGCCTGGGCTAGACCCCACACTGCAACACTGCTCCCCCCTCCTTGGCCCACCCGATGGGACCGTGTATGAGTCCCCAGACCTACTCTTGAGCTGGTGACAAGAGGTAGCCAAGGGGCCAACTGCCTTGCCCCAGAGGCTCCAGAGGCCGTGCAGTCAGGGTGTGGGGTGGGGAGGGGACCTTGCTCCCGGAGGGAGTCCCGAGAGCAGCATCCCTTGTGAACCCAGCCCCACCCCACACCCCCACAGGCCCACCGTCCACGCCCCAGCACGCAAAATCAAATGAGTTTATTCAGAAAAGGCCCCGGCTCAGACTGAGAAAATGAGCCCCACTCCCCCCAGACCCTTAAGGGCCAATTTACAAAGACGGGGGCAGGGCACAGAGGGGGAGGGAGGCCGGAAAGAGGTCGAAGTGCGGGGACCCGCAGCCCTTGGCCTCCCTGAGGGCGGGGCCTGTTCTTCCAGTGGCTGCAGTGACCACAGGGAGAGGCCAGCACTGCCGGGTGCTGGGGACAGCTGGCATGGTGGCTCCCAGATGGCCGCAGGGCAGGGCCAAGAGGCCCACGGGCTCTTTTCTCTTAGGGCTTTCGGGGTTCAGGAGAAGGCCCCGCTTCCGTCGCCTCAGCCCTCTCATCCGCTGTGGGTCCTGCAGTCTCCGGGCTCCTGGGGGCACCCTGCTCCTGACCCGCTGGGCCTTCTGCCTCCTCCTTTATCCCATTCTCACCCTCTCGGGCCTCCGGGTGCCCTGACAGGGCAGGGGGAGAGGCGGGGGCTGGCGTTTGGGCCTCACCGCCAGCCGCCACCTCAGTTTCGTCTCTGGCACCCTGGTCCACCTTCCTTCGCTTCCTCACCTCGTCGGTCACCTTGGCCCCTGGGGGCTGGGGACAGGGCTTCTCGGGCTCCCCTGGGTCGGGGCTGCCCATTTCCTGGGTCCCTGCCCTGAGACTGCCCTGACTGAGGGCACAGCCCTCCAGGTTCTGGGCGATCTTCTCCACCTCCGAGGCGCCTTGGGGGGCCGGCTCCCCTAGGGCCCGCTCACGCTGGTTCACCTCCAACTTCCTCTTCTTGCTCTCCTTAGGACTTGAGGGCTCCAGCCCCTCCTCCCCGCAGCCCCTGGCTTCATCTCCCTGGTCCCTCTCCAGAGGCCCCGCCTCCTGGGGCTCCGCGCTGGCCTCCTGGGGCTCCGCGCTGGCCTCCTGGGGCTCCGCGCTGGCCTCCTGGGGCTCCGCGCTCACTGGCTGGGAACCCTGGGCCACACTGTCCCCCTCCTCCTCCCTCTCTGGCTCACAGGTCCGCCCCTGGGCGCCAGCCGCAAGGAGGGGATCCCCACGGCTCTCCTTGCCCTCGGCCAGTCTGGGGCCCACCGGTAGGGGTGGACAGGGCGGAGAGTGCGGCCTGAACCTCTTCAGCTTGTCGTGGGGCCCCCAGACGAACTTGTAGCGGGGTTTGAAGTGCTCCCAGGCGTAGTGCAGCAGCTCGCGGCGCTGGCGCCGACTGCGCACAGTGAACACGAAGTAGTCCAGCGCGCTCTGCCGCACGCCCGGCAGCTCCCCGTGCACCAGCGTCTCCTCCAGGAAGAAGCGGGCCAGCGGCGCCTGGTAGTGCTCCAGGCCCAGCTCGCCCAGCGACTTGAGGATGCGCGTGATGCGGAGGTTGTTGTGGCTGTGCCTGGGGGGAGCGTGAGCAGAGCGGAGCGCTAGCAGGGCTGCGCACGAGGGTAGGTGGTCCCAGCCAAGGCCTGCTCTTCTCCTCCCACCGTGCTCCACCCCGCCCCTCCAGGAGCCTGGTGTCTCCACCAGCAGACACACTCCGGTCCACATGTCCAGACTCTGTCCCCACCTGCTCACCCCCCTGGGCCTCGCCCCAGTCCCTGAGAAAACACCCCATGGACCAGGACCATGTAGGCATGGGACTGTGAGGCATCCTCTACAGCGGTGAGTGTCCCCTGGTCCCATGGAACCCCCCCAGCATGGGGGTCCAGCATGGGGGCCTCAGTCATCCACATGCAAAGGGGGCTGTGCCATCAGCAGATTCACTCCCTGCACGTCCTCCCCGCCCAGTGCTTCTCAACGGGGACACGGGGGTTGTGCCTGCCACTGACCAGGTGCGAGGCTCAGGGACGCTGAGAGGCAGGTCAGCCCTGCTGGCAACCTGACTCACGCCCATGCGGGCAGGAGGGACACAGCCAAGAAGCCAAACTGCCTCTGTGGCTTTCTCTAGGTTCCCACGCCCTACCAGGTGGACCACCCCCTCCTGTGAGCAAGGAGGAGGGTGCTCAAAGCCCTGGTCACTTGTCCAAGTGCCCTCCTCCCTGGAAATGCCTCTACACCTGCCTGAAACCTAGCATAGCCCCATGTTCCTCAACCGGAGACCCCTGTACTGCTGGGGTGGGGCACAGGGCAGGTGGCAGCAGGGGGCGGCGGAGGGGGGTGTGCAGGGCAGGGGGCAGGAGGGCAGGTGGGGGCAGGAGGGGGGAGGGCACAGGGCAGCGGGCAGTAAGGGTGGCCTCACCGGTCCAGGTTCTGGAAGCGCTTCTGGTAGTTATCAGCCCGGCACACCTTGCCCGTGTTCTGGTCCTGGAGCTCGATCCCATAGAACCCCAGCATGAGCTCGTAGGCCTTGACAAACCGCTCCCTGATGTCCTTGGAGCTTTTAAACTCCTGGAAAACACCCCCAAGGAGAGCAGAGAGCTGGGTGGCATCGCTGGCGTGGACCTCAGGCTGGCCGATGCCTCTCTTGGGCCCTGATCCATCCAGGGGCCTAGGCCCAGACTTCTAGGGTAAAGTGACGGGGAGGAGCCGGGGATGCGCTCACCCGCTCTCTTTACTCTGAGCTGCTACACGGTCTCTCTGGGGCCTGAGGTGTCTGCTTTAGCCCTGAGAGGAACTCCTCCAGCTGCTGGGGAGCTCAGGGGCCTCCTGGGCTGGGCCGGAGGCAGGAAACACCACCATCTTCTCCGCAGACCTGCTTTACCTCCTTCGGGCCCTCGGCTCCCCGAGCCCCTCTCAACTCTCGAGGAGTGTCCCACTCCAGCCCAAACAGGGGTGACAAAAGCCAAGCCCCTGCCCTGGACTCCCCAACTTGAGGCAAACTACCGCAGAAAGTCGGATTTCTCTAGAAGTGTAAAGAGCACCAGGGGACGGAGGCAAAGGCCACTTTGGAGGGAAGATAATTACACTGAGGGCTCTTCCGGCTCCTGTACTCCCCGTGGTGCAAACACTTGTGGCCAGATGTGACCCCCTCCCCAGGCAGGGGCGGCCTCTTAGCCTCCAGCACTCACCTCGATCTCCCGGAGCGTGAGGGGCTCGGCGCACCTGTTCACTCCTTGCTCCCGCAAAGGAAACAGCCTTTGGGAGAAGAGACAGCAGCCCATGAGTGGCAGACATGGGCTCCCAGCCACTCGGGCACTCGCTGGCTGGGGGGCCTGGGGCAGCTCACCATCCTCTCTGGGCTCACTGCTCAACTCTAGGAGGGGCAGTCTGGACAAACACTGCCACAGGCTCTCGCGAATCAATAAAGCCACGGGGTGAGGGCCCGAGAGCTCCAGGGAGGTGTCATGGACAGGACACCAGGACGGGTGCGCAGAGCCTATGGGAGTCTCGGGGTGCGTGTCCAGCAGCAAGGCTGATCTGTCACCATCCACCCAGGGCAGCCCCGCTTTCCCTTTTTTTTTTTTTTTGGTGAGGAGGATTAGCTCTGAGCTAACATCTGTTGCCAATCCTCCTCTTTTTGCTGAGAAAGATTGGCCCTGGGCTAACATCTGTGCCCATCTTCCTCTACTTTTTCTTTTTTTGTGAGGAAGATCAGCCCTGAGCTAACATCCATGCTAATCCTCCTCTTTTTGCTGAGGAAGACCGGCTCTGAGCTAACATCTATTGCTGATTCTCCTCCTTTTTTTCCCTTTTTTCCCCCAAAGCCCCAGTAGATAGTTGTATGTCATAGTTGCACATCCTTCTAGTTGCTGTATGTGGGACGCGGCCTCAGCATGGCCGGAGAAGCAGTGCGTTGGTGCGCGCCCGGGATCCGAACCCGGGCCACCAATAGTAGAGCGCACGCACTTAACCGCTAAGCCACGGGGCCGGCTCCCATCTTCCTCTACTTTATATGGGACACCGCCACAGCACGGCTCGATGAGCGGTGCGTAGATCCATGCGGGGGATCTGAACCTGCGAACCCCGGGCTGCCAAAGCGGAGCGCGCAAACTCAACCACTGCGCCAAAGGGCCAGCCCCTGAGCTTTTCCTTTCACTCTGAGGTTCTTTCTCTCCCGTCATGAATGCTGTAGAATCGCTGCCCACGACGCCCTGTGCCCAGGAGAGGCCCCTGCGTGCCGTCCTCACAGGCACCCTGTCTTTGTGGGGCAATGTCACGGGTCTCCGAGGCAGCGTGCAGGTGCGGGTCACCACAAGCTGCCATCAGAACCCTGCCACCGCACGTGTCAGAGGGGCTCCCGGTGCAGGCAGAGTCTTCCCTCAGCCGCTGCTGGCCCTGCAGCGCCCTGCGGCGAGCGCAAGTGCGCCTTCCAGAAAGGACGCGTGTGCCCACTCAGTAAGCACCAGGGTGCTTCGGAAAGAGGCCAGGGTCCTGCCTAGGGGCGAGGGTCCCCTTCATCTGCACCCCCAGCTCCTCCCCCAGAGCCCCTCCCCCATCCCTCCCACTCACCACTGGATGTAGGAGTGATTGTTCTCCAGGAGGTCATAGTCGTTCTCCCAGTTTTGAAGAATGTCCTTAATGCGACAGCCTAGCAGCCCCAGGGGAAGGGGACGACAAGTCATCTTGGAGCTGCTGAGAGTGCCAACCCTACTCCCCCTCCCCTCCTTTCTGCAGGACCCTTGGACTTGGCAGCTCCAAGCTGTGCACACCTCATGTGATTTTAACCCCCCAACTTAGACCCTCGGCCCCTTTGCGATCTGGAAACCGGGCCCCCACTGCTGACCGAGGGCACACCAGAGTAGGAAGACCACGCTGGGTGTGCTGGGCAAGAGGGCCCAGGAGGCCCCTCAGGAGAAGGACAAGTGGTCCCAGTCCAGAAGGGGGGCCTCACTGTCCCCCCAAACCACAGCCTATTAGCTGGAACTCTGTCCTCAAAGAGAACGTCCAGACGAACCCCACCCCGTAGCGTGGTCTCCCGCAAAGTGGCTGCAGGAGGGCCCTTCTGCAAAGGGCCAGGTGAACGTTTGAGGCTGTGTGACCACATGGCCTCTGCTATAGTTACGCTGCGCTATAGCGGGAAAGCAACCACAGACAATGCATAAATGAATGGGCATGTGGGGTTCCAATGAAACTTCACCTATGGACACTGAAATGTGAATTTCATACAGTTTTAACATGTCACAAAATATTATTCTACCTTAAATTTTTCCTAACCATTTAGAAAGCATGTCCCAGTGGACCAGCCAGGCAGATGGGAGAGGGATTCCCACTCAGGACGGGGCTGCCAGCAGACGAAGGGGACGCACCGTTAGGCTTGAATGGGATATCGTTTTGGTAGAACTTCAGGTTTGGTGTGTCGCCGTTGCCGTCTCTTTCCACCAGATCCTGAAGGGCCAGAGAAAGGTGCCGGCTGGACTCACTGGAGACAGGCTGCCTCCGAGGGCCCCTTAGAGTAGAGCATTCCTGGGGGGTCTCCCAAACCCCCACATACTGTGGGCGAGGACCCCAAGCCCCAGCCTGCACCCTTTACCCCAGGAGAGGACCGGCCTCTGTCACCACAGTGGGTCGCCGCCGGGAGGGCCCCTTCATCTGCACTCACGGGTGCAGAGGGGCTGAGGACAAGGAGATGGCTGCGATGGGCTCGCGGGGCCGGCCTCCCCTGGAGGCACCACCAGCTGGCGCTGTGACTGCATTTTAAGGGCAAGGGTGCCCGTCACCCGGGATTAGGGGAGGAGCAGTAGGCCCAGGTGGGGTTTCGGGCAGGACACAGGACATACTGTCCAGCCGGCCTCATCCCTGCTGGGCTGCGGAGGCATGAGGGTGCATGGGCGGCTACCTACCGGGTAGTGGTGCCGGTACCTCCGCGTGTCCTGCATGGCTCGCCAGTTTCGGGACCCCACCATCCTGGACTGGGAAGAGAAGAGGCAGAATGAGACCCCATGGGAGACCCTCCCCACTCCTTCAGGCATGCCAGCAAGCAGGACTCACCTCCAGTGAGCCCCCATCCTGGTGAGGGCAGCAAGCACTTGGGGTAGCGGTCAGCTAAACCAGAGGGGGCTGGAGCAGCTGCAGCGAGGCCTGCCCCTGCTCGGCCCCTGCCGCTCGCTCCAGCCCTTAGGACCCCCAGGCCAACGTGCAAGTTCTTGGAGTGCAGCCCCTCAAGCTCCAGCTTCATTTCCTCCTGTGTCTGCGGGCTACCCCTACTCAGGCCGCAGCCCGTTAGGTCCCCCCAGGAACCCCCGCCTTCCCCAGTGCTTCCTCCTTGCGCTGTGCTCTAAGTTGTCACCAGGCTTTGTCCCCCAAGGGCAGTGGCCTCGCCACCTACAGTCCCAGGAGGGGCCTCAAATGCCTGTCACAGGGTCCAAAGAAGGAACAAATGACCGAGGCCCAGGGAGCCAATCCCATCCCCACCCAAACCTTCTCACTAACCAGACCCCATGTCTCCTGGCCTCCAGCCCCGTTGGGGGTGGGGGTGGGGGAAGGCTTCTCCATCCCAGATGGCTCCTTCCATCTGGATGCCAGAGGCTCCGTGCTGCCCCTCAACCCCTGCAGCCCCCATCCCTGCAGACCAAGCACCCTGGGGTCCCAGGAAGGATGGGAGGTAACTGGTGACCAGCACGCTGGGTAAATGCAGCCTGACCTACCTTATTACAAGAGTGGGGGGGCATGGCTGGGCTGAGCCCAGCTTGGGGTCTGACTGAGGCTGGGGGAGGAGGAGGGGCTTGGGCAGATATAGCCCCTGGGCGTGAGAGGAGGGGACACCTAATCCCGGGGAAACACCTGGGTTCCAGGATCCTGGAAGGAGCAAAGGAGCATTGGAAGGGAGTTAGGAACCAGGCCCACCACTGCCTCCCCTGGGTCCGACTGTGTCCCCACCCCACAAGATGCTCTCAATGGTTCAGAGCTCCAGCTGGGGTCTGGAGTTGCCTCTCTGACGGATTTCTAAACCAGGACCAGTGGGTGAGGTTCTCTTCTACCAGCCAAGGGCCAGCAAAAGAAATGGAAACTCAGCAGAAGCTGGCCCCACCTCTCCATCAGTTTCTCTTTCTCCTCCCTGGGGCCAGCCGGGCACTTCCCGGGGTCATCAAGAGGATGGGGCCTGACTGGACACGAGCCATGCACACAGCTCAGAGCAGGGCCAGCCCTACATATGACACAGCCCAGGACAAAGCCCTAAAGAGCTGCACCAGGACCCAGTGTGGGGCAGCCGGGGAGCGCCACGGGGGTTCTTGGGAGGGGGGAGGGGACTGGGACTTTGTAGGGGGACAGAAGCTGTAGTACGAAGGAGACAGGGAAGACTGGGCATCTGACAGGGCAGTCCAGGCGCCAGAGCACTGCTGAGGAGCGTGGCCTGTGAAACTAGAGAGGACAGTGTCCTCTCACCTAATCTGGGCCACACCTGGTGGGCATCCGCCTCGGGGACAGAGCCAGATTCCTGCCCTATGACTCCGGGCCCGTGACCCTGACCACTGCCTGGCCTGCCTCCCCAAGGAACTTGTGCCCGCCCCAAACACTGTGGGTGTGCTGCGGCAGCTGGCCCTCCAGGCAGACCCAGAAGCCCCTGCGGGTCCTCTTGCTGACCACCCAGAGATAAACCTGACAACCAGAGCTCTCATCTGCCACAAGGAGAACCCATCCCAGAGGCCATAGGGGCTGGAATCCAAGACTCTCTGGATGCAGTGCAGAGACACCTTCATCCAATAGCGACTGGACACAGGGCGACAGCTCTCATCCGGGCCCTCGTAACACCTGGAACCCCAGCTGGGACAACAGCACCCACGGACGGAATGCGACGCCCAGTGAGTGCCGGCAAGAAACCACTGGTAATGATAAGTAACCAGTGGCAACAGAAGTAACCAGTGGTAACAAGGAACTGGTGGTAATGGCAAGTAACCAGTGGTGATGACGGGGAACCTGCCCTATCACAGTAGTGACAAGAATAACCGGTGGTGGTAGCCACAAGTGACCAGTGGGCACAGCTGGCTGCCCACTCAGGCCAGTCACATCAATGTAGGCCCCAAGGCCACCTCCAGGATGGCGGAAGGTCGGCCCCAGACTGCGTGGGTGGGTGCTGCACCCAGTGAGGAACAGCCAGGGTGGGACATATTGGGGGCTCATGGGCCTGAGTGTGGGGGTCTTGGCCAGTGGTGAGAGGGTGAGGTGCTCCCTGAGTGGCACCAGGGTGGCAGCAGGGAGCGCCAGGAGGCTGAGAGGCTGGCGGAAGCAGCGGAGGTGCCGGCTAGAGGGCTGGGATCTATTTAGAGGACAGAGTCAAGGCCTGGAGGTGGGATGTGACACAGAGAGGGAAGTCAAGGATGTGCCCAGGGCATCCCCTAGAAGAAGTGTCATCAGCGTCATCAGCCCTAGGGATACGGGTCTGAGGGCAGCCCTGGACCTCCTTGCAAGGCCCCTTGGCTGGGCCAGAGCTGGGGGCACAGGTCAGGGCAGACCTCAGGATGTCCGGGGGATCATGAGGGGCGCACGAGGAGGACGAGGGTCAGGAAGACGGCCACAGCTAGAGAGGGAGAGCCAGGCCCCCAGCCGGGTCTCTGAGAGGTGCCTCCGCCCCGGGCGGACGGCTTTCCCCGGAGCAGTGGCCCGGCACCTGACCCCTGGGCAGGGCCTCGCCTCCCATTCCAGGGCGGCCGGGCCGGCCTCCCCAGAGGCGCGGGACGGGGCATCTGGGCGGGGCGCGGGGGGCGCGCGAGGGGCTGCACCTGGAGCGCGCGGGGCGGTGCCTCCTCCTCGTCCTCCGCGTCCGCGTCCCCGAGGCCGCCGGCCTCGTCATCCTCGTCGCCCCCGGCGCTCGGGCTCTCGCCGTCCTCCTCTTCGTCCTCCTCCCAGGTCGAGTCGCAGTCCAGGTCCTCCATGCTCGGGCGGCGGCGGAGACTGAGCTCGGGCGGAAGCGAAAGTGAAAGGAGGAAGGGCGGGGGCGGGACGGGGGGCGGGACGGGGAAGCACCGCCCAGCGACCAAGGGCTGCTGACGCCGTCGGCGCGGACGATGCCCACGCTTAGGTGTCCCGGTAGGTGTCTGGGAAGGTGTCCTCCCCAGAAAAATGTAGCCAGAAGGATGCCCCCCCCAGGATGCCTTCTGGAGGATGTTCCTAGAGGACCCCTGTCCCCCTGCGAACTGCCCAGGATATCCCTTCCCCCAGAACGTGGCCCCTGGAGGATACCTCCCCAGTGATACCAGCCCTGGAGGGTGACCTCAGGGAGGATATCTCTCTGAAGAATGCCCCCCTGGAGTTTGTCCACAGAGGATGACTGCCTCCAGGAGAACCCCTCCCACAGCACCCCCTCCCCAGGACATCCCCCTCAGAGGGTTTCCCCTAAGGCCCTCCCCTCCAAGAAGGCCCCTCCTTGGAGGACGCCCACCCCCTAGAGAATCACCCCCCAGCATGCCCTCCTAAAGGAAGCCTCCCCTGGTGGATTCTCTCCCCAGAGGATGCTGACCTCCTGGAAACCGAACCCACCCCCCGGAGAATATCCCTTCCCCCTGAGAATGTCCCTCCTAGAGAGTGGCCCCCCCAGAAGGTCCTTGGAGGATGCCCACAGGAGGATATCCCCCCACAAGGATGCCCCCCTAGGAGGATACTGCCTGCAAGTTGTCCCTCCCAGATGAATGTCCCCCAGAAGGCGACCCCCCAGGATGTTCCCCCCAGGATATCTCCCTTGGGAGCCACCCCCAGGATGCCCACCAGGTGTCAGCTGGAGCTGTGTTCTCATCATATGGAGCAATGTGCTTCCAGTCTCTCTCAGACTGTTGGCAGAATCCATCTTCTTCGGGCAGTAGGACAGAGATCCCTGTGTCCCCTTCATAGGTGGTTCACAGCTGGGCAGTTTGCTTCTTTAAGGCCAGCAGGAGAGTCCCCCCAGTGTGCTGAGAATGCTATAACGCACGTCCTCGTGGGCCTGACCTGTATCCTCTTTGCCGCATTCTGTCGGTTACCAGACACAGGTACTGCCTGCACTTAGCGAGGGCACCACACAAAGGCCGGCACACCAGGAGGCGGAAATGCCTGGCGGTCACCCTTGGGCCATTCGACACAGGCTGCTCCAGTTAAGCGCCCCCTTAGGGGCCTCTCTGGGGGCTGGTGGTGGCTGCCTTCTTTAGGTACATTGGCAGATTTCAGACAGCTGAAGACCGCCTTCAGGTGCAAATTTCCCAGCGGCTGTGGGTCCCTTAACCTCTGCCTTTGACACTGCTGGGGGGCCACAGGAGCTCCAGCAAAGTTGGTGACCCACCCCTCAAAATGGGAGAAAACTGGGAGTGGCCACCCCAGGTAAAATTCTTCTTCTGTAGATACTATACTACTTTGTTGTTTTTAAAAAATTTAGCTAAAAGTCAAGTCTGGCTTTTAGATTTGGCAGTGAGGATGGCTCCTGGGAGAGCTGCCTGTGGGGTAACAGGGGTCAGAAGGTGAAGTCCAGGCCCAGCCCCCAAGGGACGCTGACCTCTCCCAGCCCTGCAAGCCAGCTGACAGGCCTCAGGTTGCCTGTGCCTGGGGACGGTGACACTTCTTAAGCTGTGTACCTTGAACTTGAACCTTTGATTTTGGCTGTGGGCACAGCTGAAGGCCTTTCTCGGTGCTGGCCCTGAGTCCTTGCTGGCTCGGTGACCTTCATCAACTCTCCGGGCACAGTCTCACCTGTCTGGAACCTGTGTACACGCTATCTCACTTTCTAAAAGGATGGTGGTGACCCCCCCAAAGGTATGGTGCTCTGGGCATTTCTGCAAATTGTCCTCTATCAATGGCCATGGTGGGCTTCCTGGGGAGTGGCTAAGCCAGCAGCTACCGCCCACTGTGGACTGCCGCCACGGGCCTGACCTTCTCGTAGCCGATTTGCAGCTGGCCTTGGAGACCCTGGCTATGACATCTGGGTAGAACGGGGGGCCTCTAAGAGAGGCGTTGATGGGTGCTGGGGCGTCATACAGGGTTTGGCTGCTCTGAGAACACTTGGGTGGGCCGGCTCTGCCCCACCTCTGCCCCAGAAAAGAGAGACAAGACTGCTGTGGAGGAGGAGGTTGCTTCATCATCCCCGCCCGGCCGTGCTCAGGGCCCACAGCCCTCGCTGCTGCCTGCTGCCAGGGCCAGGACTGCAGGCCACTTCCCCAAGAGAGTGGTTCTTCAAACATCGCCCAACGCCCGCTTTACAAGTCATAGCCACGCCCTTGTGCGTCTCTAGGTGCTTCTGTGCGCAGTGCGCGTAGAGCTCATCTCAGAGGGGTGTTCATCTGGGAAGCCCAGCTTCTGCTGCGGGAACAAGCTGGAACTCAGGGCTCCGTGCCACAGGGCAGTGTTTCTTCCCCTCTGCCGTCTGGGGACGCCACTGTGGGCTCAGTGTCCAGACGGCTGGCTGTGAGGCTGGGCAAGGGGCTAAAAGTGGTGCACCTGCCACAATGCCCCCCTGGAAGTCACACCCCCAGGCACTCACAGGGGGCACTCCTCCTGCACCAGCAGTAGGTGGTCTGCCTGGAGGTGGTGCTGCCTCATCCCCACTTGACCAGCCAAGCAGGGAGCCCCACTGCACCCAATGCTGATCAATATGTATTAACACTACTTGGGAGCCACGGGCCCTCGGGATCACCCATGAGGGGCCCAGGCTGGGCCAGAGCAGAGAGAGCTGAGCCCACACCCACCTGAGGCCCACCCCATTCCCACCTGCCGGCCATGCAGGAAAGGTCTTTGGCAGCTGCAGGGAAGGTGCTCGGGTCCCAGGTGTCCTTGGCACAGAGAGCCTCTGCGGAGGCTTCTTGGCTTCGGTCAGCAGTGCTTGTTAACAAGTGAGGTCTTACTCAAGAGTGAACTGCAGGACCAACCTCATCGTGTGCTTTCGTTCTGCGGCTCTGTCTTCACTTTCAGAGACGGTTTCCATTGGTGCCCTCCGTGTTACATGGTGGGGTACATAAGACCCTCGTGTCACAGAGCGGACCCCTGGGCCGGGAGAGCTTACATGCCGCACAGGCCTGTGAATTTGACCTGCACAGACCAGGAGCTGGACCTACCCACAGGGAAGCCAAGATCCTGTGAGCTGGTCCAGGCTGAGGGACCAGGAGGGCCGTGGGCGTCTGTCCACCCAGCAGGGCTGCTCGGTCAGCCTCGCTGGCAGGTGCGAGAACACGCGGAGCAGGGCCAGAATGGGACACCCAAGGCGGGGGGCACCTGCCCACCTGCCTTGATGGATTTGCCCTGTGGGCCCCTTGATTCTCCTAGAAGTGCAGTAAAATGTAAAATGATTGAAATGAGGCAGGTTTGATTTATTAATTAGGCTTTTCCAGCATGTTCTGAGGTCCCTGAAGATGCTGTTTCAGAAGGGGATTTACCACTGAGTCTGGTGAAGACCCCCCCCCCCCGCCCCTGTTCTGCTTCTTCCTGGCGCCACGTGCCACCCCAGTGCTGTCTGTCCCACCTCCCTGGCCACTTCTGAGCTGAGGGCCAGGCTTCTCTCAGGCATCACGACTCCAGCGACAGGACCTGGCACAGAGTGGGCATTGAGGGACAGCTGCTGGACACGCTGGTGGTGAGAGGGAGGCCAAGGGGGCGGGCGAGTGTTCTCTCCCCAGTCTGTTCTAGAACCCACTATAATACAGACCTCCGCTCCCTCTTCCCTCTCAGACACACACACAACACACGTTGCCTGCTCTGTGGCAAGGAGAGGTGACAGGGAATCTCGTACGTCTGGGTGTTCGGGGTGAGTGTGGTGTCTGCTGTGCTCAGACAGCGGCAGACCCCAGGGATGCCATCTCAGAATGGAGAGGAAATGGTTCCCGGCCTGGCCTCATGGGCTCGGGTGAGTTCTGACCTCCTGCTCCCGGATGGTAGCAAGGCTCCGTCCGCCGGGTGGATGGCAGTTGTCTCCTCGTGGTTTGTCAAGATGAAGAGCAGGGGCGCGGTGGCTGGCCAGAAGGGAGAGCGCCTCCTTTTCGGGTCACATGGAATGGCCGGACCCTCAGTTGCAGAGAACAAGCAGCCTGCAGACTCACGGCACACGGGGCCGTCCAGCCAGAAGGAGGCACCAGCTCTGCCCTTCGCTCTCCTAACATTTTGCATTTGAAGGGCTTGTCACACTCAACAAAGTAACCTCTCCAGGCTTGTTACTATTTTGTACATACATTGTATCAAGTGAATGTTAATAAGTCATCTAAGTGTAAGCCTCAGTTACAAATCTTGGAAAAATACCAACTTGCTGTCGTAGGAAAAGGTAAGTCATTTTGGTATCAAAATCACACGACTCCAGGTTGCTTTTTGTGCTTTAATTTTCCACAAACGGAAGTGTATTTAGTCACCCCAGAGCCACGGCCTTGGCAGCCCCACAGCCGGCTTTCCCCTCACTCGCTCATTTGGTCTGTTTGCAAGCTAATCGGTAATACAAAAATAACCGCTACAAATTCTCTGTATCTAGCATATAAAAACTGAGCAAAAAGTACCTCCGTAGTCATATCCTTAAAACAAAACATCTCAGAAAAAATACAACACAGGTTTAACTTCTGCAGTATTTTCTTCCTAAAAAACACTAATAAAATAGGCTTCTTAAAAATTAAATAGTGAAATACCAACCAAATTATATACATCATTACAGTACAAGTGAACGAGGCACAACATCCAGTCTTCTGCTTCTCAGGTGGCGAGGGAGGGGCCGCGGCGTGGGCACGGGGGCCTCTCTCCTGAGGTGGCAGTCACTGTAGAAAGAGTGGCGGACGGATGGACGAATGGATGCACAGGAAGAGCCAGTCGCCCGGGAAGGCCAGCGCTCCTCAGAGGACGGAGGGGGACGGTGCTCTACTGCCTGCCATGCCGGGTCTCCTACCCGCCCCCAGCGCCTCAGCAGAGGTGGAGCTGATCCACGTCCCAGGAAGCCACGTGTGGACGTCCAGAGAAGACGGAGCCCGACTCCCCACTCACCGCTCTCGACACCTGAGAGAGCGGGGCCATCCTGGTCTCGTGGATCCATCAGAGGCCAGATGGTCTGAGAGGGCAGTGCGGGGCCTCCGGCGTCTGACCAGCCGCCTGCCTGGTGAGCACGGCTCCTGCCTGTCCGCCGGCCCGTCCGCCCTCCTCCGCGCCCGGGGAGCGTCTACGTTCGGCGCCGCTTGGCGGAGCTGGGGCTGGAGGGGTTGCTGTTGGCGGTCAGGACTTTGTCAGCGACCCGGCTGCGCTTCCGCTTGTCCGCCCCTTCTCTGGACCCCAAGTCTGAGGAGTTCTTGTCTTTGTCTTTGCTGGATTTTTCTGTGGCTTTCCCCAAGCTTCCTGAAGATGAAAAAACTGGGAGACAAAATCATTTGGCTGAAAATAGAATTTACAGAATTTTATTTCATCTTCCTGTTGAGTTAAAAAACTCTGCATCTACACACGTGACACTCTGACCCAAAAGGCTTCTCCAGAGCTGGGGATGCCCGCGTGGCCTGAAGAGTGCCTGGTCCTCCTGAGGATGTGCCTACCACGCGGGCCTCGGGGAGCACACGCTCAGCTGCAGGACCCTGCCACGGCCATCCACGCACGCCCATCCTACAAGGCGGAGCGAGGCTTGGGCCCTGCGCGTCTTTGCTATTCGGGATTTGTCCTGTTCCAAGACGACAGACACACGTGTGACTCCAGTCGGGCCCCCTGCACTGCACACCGTCCACCTGACTGGACACCAGTGCCCGAGGTTGCCCTGTGGTTTCTTCACGGTACTGGCCACGTGCAAGACCTCCACGCACGCCGAGGCTCCCGCCTGAGCAGACGGAAGCTGCCTTCACAACTGCTGAACCAGGCAGAGCGGCAATGGCTACAAGTGGACTTGAAATACAGGCTGGGGACATGCGGCTGCGCCCTGCAGGGAGGCCTTGCAGGGGGTGGGGTGCCGTGTCCCGGGCCTCAGGGGAGAGGTGGGGCGTGCTCCACACTTACCGTCGTCGGCCCCGTTATGGGGGTCCACATCCTCCTTCATCTCCTCTTTCATTTCCTCTTCAATGATCACTTTTCCTGTGGGGGACACAGCTGGTGGTTACCGAAAGCCAACCTGGGGGTGGCTCAGGCTGGGGCTGCTCCTGACTTGGGAGGTGTATGGACCTCGCTGCTGCCAGGCCGCTTTTAAAGATGCTGACTGTTCTTGAACAAAGTCCTCCCTGATCCCAGGAGGCTCCCCAGGCCTCCCCAATCCAGGTGGACGGAGCATCACGTCAGCGACCCTCGCTTCTCCCTGAGGTCATGACCTTCACCCTGACACCATGTCCCATCTTCTCTAATTCCCAAATCTGACCCCACCTGAGTCTCACCTTCTCGGACTTCTTGAATGATCTCTTCTGGAAGGACGAAGTTCCTCTCTGGATTCGGGAATGGAAGAATCTCAGACTCGTGCTGACGGCAAATAGGGCGTTTTATTTTTTTTTAAGAAACGAAGAAAATGTGATTTTAGCAAGTCACTAAAAACGTGTAAGAGCCAATTCAGGAGCAGCCAGCGAACGCTCACAGCTGTCTTAGAGGGCTGCAGTGGGTGGGCGCCGAGCAGGTGAAGACTCTTTGTTCTTTCTGCTCGTGGGGTCTCCCGGGCTGGGCTTTTCACAGACTCAGAGGAAGCAAACACTGCAGTGCAAGCAGTTTTGGGGGACCGGCAGGAGTCCCCTGAGATGAGGCTGGGGCAGCTGTCACAGGGCCAGGCTCCCCACTGATGGCTCCCTCACCCCAAGAGTGCGATCAGAGGGTGGTGACAGCCCTGAGGGAAGGCCACGGTGCCTCCGGTGCCCATCCACGTGGCAGGAGCTAGGCTGCTGGCAAGGAAAGCCACCTCCACAGAAACCAGGTAAGGAAGGCAAAGTGGAGCAAGGCACCCTGAATGCTTATGCGGTTCCACCCGTCCTGCAGGTCACACATACCAGGAGGGACAGGGACCCCGGAAACACAGACTCCTGGATGAAGGGAAAGCTGAGCTGGCTGACCAACATTTGCGAGCCCCTCTGGCTCCTGGGCCCACGGGTCACCTTGTAGGTGGGGTCCAGGGACTCATATTTACAAGGCCCTGGATGACTTGGCATCAGCCCTATAGTGGTGATGAGGTCTAAGGAGATGACAGGCCCGAGGCCTTGCCCAGTCCTCAATGAGCGGCACCCTGAAGCTCCGTGAGTGTCACGTGGGCCCCATGCTGGGCATCACAGCTACAGGCTCCTCTGAGCGAGTGTCTGCAGCTCAGAGCTGTCTGTCTGTCTCCCATGTGACAGGGGCTCCCCCAGGACAGGGACCCTGCTGCACTCATCTGTGTCCAGCATCCATCCAGCCCCCACCAGCCTGGAGTCAGGGCGCGGAGGGTGCCTGGGGACCCAGTGACCCCACGTGACAGGCATGGAATTCACAAGAGCGAGGCCGCTCCGGGAGGACTTCCTTTAGTTTAGCAGCTTGTCCTCGACGCAGCAACAGCAGCTCGAGTTTCCAGGGCACTTGCTGCAGGCCGGGCGGTCAGTCCCAGGTCACAGCTGTCATCTTTATCCCCTTTCTATGCTATGACAAGGAGACGCAAACAACTCGCCCAAGGCCAACAGAAAGAAGTGGTACAGCAGGATCTGGACGCAAGAGTGGGGCAAGCGTTCTCCGCCTCAGCAACGCGCACCCAGGTCTCAGCCGGGAGGGCAGGTGCAGCCCCGAGTCCAGGGGGAGACAGAGCCTTCCCTAACCATGGCACAGGTTCCCACCTCTCTGGTCCCGAAACCCCCTCTCACCCCACTCTCCAGGTGCTCTGGCCTCTCTAAGCTCCTTGACCCACCAACTCCTGCTGCCACGGGGCCTTGACACCTGCCGTTCCTCTGCCAGAACAACCACCTGTCTCTTCCAGCCATCCTGGTTACCCAGGTAACTTGCTCACCTGCCCACACAGCTGGCTGGGGGTTCCATGAGACCTCCCTGCCTGCCTGGTGCTCACTGTTGTTCCTCTTAATGTGACTTACATCTGGTCACCTTCCTGCCTGGAGCCTCTGGGCTGTCCCATAAGACTGACAGTGGCCTAAGGGGCCCCCACAGGCCTCAGCTCCCTAGTTACCTCCTTAGAGAGACCTTCACTAACCACCCAATTTGAGACAGTTCTGCATGGGTAACCAGCTATTAGGTTTCTGTATTTTGTAAAACTACTTTGAGCTATCTTGTTAATGTGCTCCCCCAGGGGACGTCCACAGGACATGAGGACAGGGGCCCAGCACATCCTCGAGGAGGAGACATGGAGGGGGAACTCTGCCGCCAGATCCGTCTGGGGAAGGCGGGGCTCTGGCCTTGGAAGGCCTGGGGAGGGAAGGGTCAGCTCACCAGGGCCTGCATGTCATACATGGTGCTCAGGTGGTCCCAGATGACCTTGGACGGGACCTGCCGACCGATGTTCTGGCTGAACTTGTCCCGGATACAGATCATGTGGAAGTGCCGGTTCACACCTACAGGAGGAAGGGGTCAGCTTGTGGGGGGGGGGGAGCACAGCAGGTAAGAGAGGAGGAGTAGGTGGGGGGGAGGGGGCAGAGGTCAGTGAGGTGTAGGAGGTGGTGGGGGTGTAGGAGGG